AAACTTTCATTCCTGATACCTTGGCACGGACGGTTGGAAAGCTGGGGCTCAGATGGGCTTCTCTCTCTGTCCACATAGTGTCAGGTCTCTCTACAAGATCTCTCTAGCAGATAGACTTCTTACATGGCGGCTTCTCCGGGAAGGAGTGTTCCAAAAGACGGAAAGTGGGAGCTGCAAGGTTCTTAAGAAATTTACACAGTGTTTCTTTTGCCATATTTTTTTGACCAAAGCAGTTGCAAAGCCTTTCTACATTCAAAGGGAAGGGCACAGACCCCCTACCTCTTAGAGGAGGGAGAGTAGAAAAGTTTTTGGCCAAACTTAATCCTCCACAGGAGCTTACAGAGAGGGAGAAAATATATAATATCACAAAAATTCACAAGGAATAATGGCATTAATAGCAGTAATATACAAGGAACTCCTGAGAATAAGCCAAGGACAGCTACTCCAAATTAAAAAAAAAAAAAGACTATGCACAGGACATTTATCCAAGTGGAAATCAAGAAGCCAACATGGATACAAAGGAATGCTGAAAATAACTAGTAATCACGAAATACAAATCAAAGTAACAACAAGCTATTTCTTTACAACAGTGTTTCACAATATTGGTATTACCAGTATTTTGGGCCAGACAATCTTTTGTTGTGGGGGCTTGTCTGTACCTAGTAGGATATTTAGCAGCATCCCTGGCCTATACCCACTAGCTGCCAGTAGACACCCCCCTTTGGAAAATAAAAAATATCTCTAGAAATTGACAGTTATCTCCTGGGGGATAAAATCATCCCAGGTTGAGAACCATTGCTTCATACCTATCAGCCTGGCAAAAAATAGAAAGCTGGTTAATTTTTTTTTTTTTTTTTTTTTTTTCTTGAGACAGAGTCTCACTCTGTCGCCAAGACAAGTGCAATGGTGAGATCTTGGCTTACTGCAACCGTGGTTTCCCAAGTTCAAGTGATTCTCCTGCCCCAGCTTTCCAAGTAGCTAGGACTACAGACATGTGCCACCATGCCTGGCTAATTTTTATATTTTTAGTACAGACAGGGTCTCACCATGTTGGCCAGGCTGGTCTCGAACTCCTGACCTAAGGTGATCCACCTGCCTCGGCCTCTCAAAGTGTTGGGATTACAGGTATGAGCCACCACGTTAATGTTAAGTGTTAGCAGAGATATGGCAACATAGGAAGCCTCGGGCCTTGCTGGTGGATGTGTGAGTGGCACAGCTATTCTTGAGAGCAATAGTCAAATTAAATGTAGATATACCTCAGGACTCACCAATTCAGCATGTGGGTAATTTGCACAGGTCCACAAAGGAATATATGTGAGGATGTTCTCTGCAGCTTTGTCTGATAATGGGGAGTTGGAGGCAAATTAAAATGTGGTGGCAGAATATCCTGTCCAATAATAGCAGACATATTTTTCTCAGTGCACATAAAACCTTCCATAGGACAGAGCATGAGTTAGGCCACAAAACAAGTTTTAACAAATTTTAATAGACTGAAATCATACAAAGTATCTTTTCTGATCACAATGAAATAAAATTAGAAATCAATAACAGAAGGAAAAATGGAAAATTCACAAACTAAACAATACACGCTTAAACAACTACTGGATTTTAATTTCTTCTTTAGAAGAAATCATGAGGGAAATTGGAAAATATCTTGAGACAAATGAAAAAGGGAACACAGCTGAGTGCCGTGGCTGACCCCTATAATCCCAACATTTTGGGAGGCCAAGACAGGTGCATCACTTGAGCTCAGGAGTTCTAGACAAGCCTAGGCAAAATGGTGCAACCCTATATCTACAAAAAATACAAGAAAACAGCTATGCATGGTGGTGCATGCCTAAAGTCCCAGCTACTCAGAGGGCTAAAGTGAAAGGATCCTTTGCATCCAGGAGGCTGAGACAGCAGTAAGCTGTGTTTGCACCTCTCTCTCAAAAAGAGAGAGAGAAAGACGAGAGAGAGAGAGAGACAGAGAGAGAGAGAGACGAGAGAGAGAGGAGAGAGAGACAGAGAGAGAGAGAGAGAGAGACGAGAGAGAGAGAGAGAGGAGAGAGAGAGAGAGAGAGAGAGAGAGAGAGAGAGAGAGAGAGAGAGAGAAAGGAGAGAGAGAGAGAGAAAGGGGAGAGAGAGAGAGAGAAAGGAGAGGGAGAGAGAGAGAGAGAGAGAGAGAGAGAGAGAGAGAGAGAGAGAGAGAGAGACCCTGTCTCAGAAAAAGAAAATAAAAGAAAGAGAGGCTGGGCACAGTGGCTCACACCTATAATCCCAGCATTTTGGGAGGCTGAGGCAGGTAGATTACTTGAGATCAGGAGTTCCAGACCAGCCTAGCCAACATGGTAACACTCAGTCTCTATAAAAATACAAAAATTAGTTGGGCATGGTGGTGCATGCCTGTAATCCCAACTACTCAGGAGACTGAGCCAGGAGAATCGCCTGAATCCTGGAGGTAGAGGTTGCAGTGAGCAGAGATTGTGCCACTGCACTCCAGCCTGGGCAACAGAGCGAGACTCTGTATCAAAAATGAAAGGAAAGAAGGGAGAGAGGGAGGGAGGAAGGGAGGGAGGGAGGGAGAGAATACAACATACCAAAACTTATGGGGTGCAGTAAAAGTAATACTAAACAGAACTGTATATCTGTAAACATATACAGTAAGTCCTCACTTAACACACACTGTCAATAGGCTCTTGGAAACTGTGACTTTAATAAAAACTATTTTACCACAGGCTGATATAAACAAAACCGTATTTTTGGTCATGAAAATATCACTAAACAAAAACATACTTCTGGTCACAAAAACATCACTAAACTTCTAAATAAAGACGAAAACACTTTCTTTTTAATTTAAATTTTTGTGGGTACCTAGTAGGTATATATATTTATGGGGTACAAAAATTAGTTGGGCCTGGTGGCATGCACCTAGCTCCTTGGGAGGCTGAGGTGAGAGGCTTGCTTGAACCTGGGAGGCAGAGGTTGCAGTGGGTCAAGATCGTTCCACTACACTCAACCCTGTCTCAACAAAAAACAAAACAAACAAAAACCAAAAACCAGGCTGAGCATGGTGGCTCAGGTCTGTAATCCTGGCACTTTGGGAGGCCTGGGCAAGTGGATCACCTGAGGTCAGGTGTTCGAGACTAGCCTGACCAACATGGAGAAAACTCATCTCTACTAAAAATGCAAAATTAGCCAGGCACGGTGGCACATACCTGTAGTCCCAGCTATTCGGGAGGCTGAGGCAGGAGAATCGCCTGAACCTGGGAGGCGGAGGTTGCAGTGAGCTGAGATTGCACCATTGCACTCCAGCCTAGGCAATAAGAGTGTGACTCTGTCTCAAAAACAAAAGAAAACAAAACCCAAAACTAAAAGTTTTGGTCCATTGTTAGAGTTAGGAAAAAAAGGTTTTCCTTTAAGATCAGGATCAAGACAAGGATACCCACTTTTGCGACTTCTATTCAGTGTATCATTAGAAGTTCTCCTCAGAGCAATTAGGTAAGAAAAAGAAATAAAAATACCCACATTGGAAAGGAAGAAGTAAAATTATCTGTTTGCAGATGACATGATCTTACATGCAGAAAACCCAAAAGATTACACACACACACACACACACACACACACACCCCGATTAGAGCTAATATACAAATTCAGCCAAGTTCCAGCACACAAAACCAACACACAAAATACAGTTCCATTTCTATACACTAACAATTAGTAACCTGAAAAAAAGATTAAGACAACAATACTATTTACAATAGCATCAAAAAGACTAAAATTCTTAGGAAAAAAACAAGAAAGTAAAAGACTTATCCGTGTTCATGAATTGGAAGACTTGATATTGTTAAGGTATCAATATTAGCCATACTTACTACAGATTCAACACAATCCCTATCAAAATTCCAATGACTTTGCAGAAATAAAAAAATATATATCCTAAAATTCATATAGAATCTCAAGGAACCCTGAAGAGCTGAAACAATCTCATAAAAGAACAAAGTTGGAAGACTTAGACTTTCTGATTTCAAAACTCTGATTACTATAAAACTACAGTAATCAAAATGGTGTGATATTGGCAAAAAGGCAGAATATAGATTAATGTAATAGAATACAGAGTCCACAGATAAACCTTAGTGCATATGGGCAAATGATTTCCAACAAGGGTGACAAGACCATTCAATGGGGAAAGGACAGTCTTTTCAACAAATGGTGCTGGGAAAACTGAATATTCACTTGCAAAAGGATGAAGTTGGACACATACCTTATACTACAGATAAAAATTAACTCCAAAAGTTTCAAAGACCTATTTCATTTATTTTCATTTTATTTATTTATTATTTATTAATTTATTTTGAGACAAGAGTTTTGCTCTTGTCGCCCAGGCTGGAGTGCATAGCATGATCTCAGCTCACTACAACCTCTACCTCCTAGGTTTAAGCAATTCTCCTGCCTCAACCTCCTAAGTAGGGGATTACAGGCATGTGCCACCACGCCTAGCTAATTTTGAGTTTTTAGGAGAAATGGGGTTTCACCATGTTGGCCAGGCTGGTCTCAAGCTCTTGATCTCAGGTGATCTGCCTGCCATGGCCTCCCAAAGTGCTGGGATTACAAGCGTGAGTCACCATGCTCAGCCCAAGACCTATTTTATAAGAGCTAAAACTATACAACTCTTAGAAGAAAATAGTCGGAGAGCTTTGTAACACTGTATTTGGCAATGGTTTCATGGATATAACACCAGAAGCACAGGCACCACCAACAAAAAATAAATAAATTGGACTTATCAACATTAAAAATTTTTTTGCATCAAGGGATAGTGTCTAGAGCATGAAACAACATATTCCTCTCTTGCCTGGGACCTAGTTTTCAGTGACATGGCCAAATGCACCAAGAAAGTCGGAATGAGGCCAGGCCGTGGCTCATGCCTGTAATCCCAGCACTTTGGGAGGCCAAGGTGGGAGGATCTCTCGAGGTCAGGAATTGGAGACCAGCCTAGCCATCATGGTGAAGCCCTGTCTCTACTCAAAATACAAAAACAGGCAGGCATGGTGGTGCATGCCTGTACTTCCAGCTACTAGGGAGGCTGAGGCAGGAGAATAGCTTGAATCTGGGAGGCGGAGGTTGCACTGAGCTGAGATCGCACCACTGCACTCCAGTCTGGATGACAGAGTGAGACTCTGTCTCAAAAAAAGAAAAGTCAGAATGATCAGTAAATACTGGACCCTCTATGGGGCCTCCATCCAGAAAATGGTGAAAGAAACTGAAATCAGCCAGCACACCAAGTACAGTTGCTCTTTCTGTGGCAAAACAAAGATGAAGAGACAAGCTGTGAAAATCAGGCACTGTGGTTACTTCATGAAGACAGCAGCTGGTGGTACCTGGACCTACAATACCACTTGTGCTGTCACATCAAGTCTGCCATCAGAAGACTGAAGGAACTGAAAGGCTGGTAGATGCTCCTGCACTCTTTGAGACATCACTGGCCTATAATAAATGGGTCGATTTACATTAAAAAAGAGAGCCAGAGAGTGAAACAACAGTCTACATGATCAGAGAAAATATTTGCAAATCTTCTATCTGATTAGAAGTTAGTACTGGAACATGTAAGGACGTATAAAGAACCCCTACAACTCAACAACAAATAAATCAACAACCTAATTCACAAATGGGCAAGGAACTTGTATAAACATTTCTCCAAAGAAGATACAGAAATAGCCAAAAAGCACACAGAAAGATGCTCAAGGCCAAACACGGTGGCTCACGCCTATAATCCCAGCACTTTCGGAGGTGGGTGGATCACCTGAGGTCAGGAGTTCAAGACCAGCCTAGCTAACATGGTAAAACCCCATCTCTACTCAAAATACAAAAATTAGCTGGGCGCAGTGGCGCGTGCCTATAGTCTCAGCTGCTTGGGAGGCTGAGGCAGGAGAATTGCTTGAACCTGGGAAGCAGAGGTTGCAGTAGGTTGAGAGAGCACTGCTGCACTCCAGACTGGGCAACACAGCAAAACTCCATCTCAAAACAAAAAAAGAAAAAAAAATACGTTCAAGCATTGGCCATTAGAGAAATACGAATCAAAAGCTCCATGGAATACCACTTTATATCCGCTAATATGGCTATTACAAGACATAAACAAAGTAAGTGTTGATGCGGATATGGAGAAACTGAAACCCTTGTGTATTGCTGGTGGGAATGTAAGATGGTACAGCCACTGTGGAAAAGTTTGGCATTTCCAAACTCTTAAACTAGAATTATTGGCCAGGGGCGGTGGCTTATGCCTGTAATCCCAGCACTATGGGAGGCTGAGGTGGGCAGATCACTTGAAGTCATGAGTCGAGATCAGTTGGCCAGCATGGCAAAACTTTACCTCTACTAAAGATACAAAAATGAGCAAGGCTTGGTGGTGTGTGCCTGTAGTACCAGCTACTTGGTTGGCTGAGGCAGGAGAACTGCTTGTGAGGCTGCAGTGAGCCAGGATCACGCCCACTGCAATCTAGTCTGGGTGACAGAGCAAGACTGTCTCAAACACAACAAAACAAATCATATAGAATTATGGTATAATCCAGCAATTCCACTTCTGAATGTATACCTCAAAGAGTTGAAAGCAGGGACACAAACAGATACTTGTATACCAATGTTCATAACAGCATAATTCACAATAGCCAAAAGGTGAAAACAACTCAAGTGTCCATCAACAGATAATGGAGAAGCAAACTGTGGTATATACATGCCTGGAATATTATTCGATCTAAAGAAAAGAAGGCTGAGGTGGGAGAATCACTTGAACCCAGGAGTTTGACACCAGCCTGGGAACAAAGTGAGACCCCATCTGTACACAAATCTGTTTTAAAAAATGAGCTGAGCATGGTGGAGTGTGCCTGTAGTCCCAGATACTTGGGAGGCTGAGGTGGGAGGATCCCTTAAACCTAAAACTGTGAGGTCGCAGTGAGCTATGATCACACCACTGCACTCCAACCTGGGTGACAGAGACTGTCTAAAAAAAAAAAAAAAAAAAAAGATACATGGTATAACATAAATGGGCCTTGAAAATATTGTGCTAAGTAAAATAAGCCAAACACAAAAGAAGAAATATTATATAATTCCACTTACATGAGGTAGCTAGAATAGGCAAATTCATAGGGACAGAAAGTAGAATACAGGTCACCAAGGGCTGAAGGAGTGGGGGTCCGGGAATAGGACGTCATTGTTTCATAGGTACAGAATTTTAGTTTGAGATGATAAGAAAGTTCTGCAAATTGATAGTGGTGACAGTTGCACAACATTGTGAACATTGCACAACATTGTGAAAATACTTAATGCCACCAAATTATATACTTAAAAATAGCTACAATGAGGCAGACATGCTGGCTCATGCCTGTAATCCCAGCACTTTGGGAGGGTGAGGCGGGTGGACTGCTTGAGGTCAGGAGTTTGAGTCCAGCAGAATGGTGAAACCCTGTCTCTATGAACAACAACAAAATCTAAAATGGTAAATTTTATGTTGTGTGTGTATATTTCTCTTTATTTTTTTTTGTTTTGAGACAGAGTCTTGCTCTGTCACCCATGCTGGAGTGCAATGGCGTGATATTGGCTCACTGCAACCTCTGCCTCCCGGGTTCAAGAGATTCTCCTGCCTCAGTCTCCAGAGTAGCTGGGACTACAGGTGCATGTCACCATGCCTGTCTAATTTTTGTATTTTTAGTAGAGATGGGGTTTCACCATTTTGGCCATGCTGCTCTTGAACTCGTGACCTTAAGCGATCCTCCAGCCTCGGCCTCCCGAAGTGCTGGGATTACAGGCATGAGCCACTGTGCCCGGCCATGTTATATATATTTTATGTCAATTTAAAAAATGTGGTAGATACATAGGAAATAGAATAAGACATAATATGTAAACTTAAAATATGTGCCTATAAAACAATATTCATATTGTAAGAATATACAAATGAATTATTAGAATTAATGAGAACTCAAATTCTAAAACTGACCTAATGATGCAAAACCGTTTCAATCAATATCCTAACACTGTCATTTTATGGAGCAGGCTGATTCTGAATTTTATATGGAAATGCAAAAGTTCAAACATAGCTAATACTCTTGAAGAAAACAAGATGGAAATATTTGATCTATTAGATATTAAGATATAAAATAATAACATAATGAAATTATCATAATTAAGATGGTCCAATTAAGGCATAATAAGATAATACAAGGAATGACAATTAAACTAATATCCCAGAAACAGACCTACCTGTACATAGTTTATTTACAATAAAAATGACATTGAATGGCAGTGGAGAAATTACGGTCTTTTCAATAACCAGTGGTGGGACAACTTGGTAGCCATTTAGGAAAAAAAAAAATTTCCTCACTACCAAATATACAACATAAATTTCATATCTATATCTGGAACCTAATGTAACAAAGGTTTGAGAGGTAACATATGGGAGATTAAAAATATCTCCTTGTTTAAGAGGACAGTATACGGGCAATCTCTCTCAATAATGCCCGTGTATTTTATTGTCTTCTTACACAGTCGATAAAAAAATATGAAATACTGGTAAGTTTAACCATATTACACTTAAGATTGTTGCTTTCCTAAGTTTACCAACCCTGTTATTCACAACACTTTCTCAGTCTCTACTAGTTCCCTACTTTGAAAGATCCATTTTAAACCAGTTAGACCCTTTTCTGAAATCCCTACAAATTCCTACTCTATCAACCCCTCTCTGAATCATTACCAAGACCCTGTCAAGTTGATAGTCTCTTTTACTATGCTGCAGTAAGTTTGATGAACTTTGTTTAGTCAACAGGTTTCCTTGGTGACCTTTGTTGGGGGAGTAATTTACAGTCCTTATTTTTTTGAGAAATATACTGAAATCTTTAAGAAAAAAATTTTTTTTGGTAGAGATGGGGTCTTGCTATGTTACCCAGGCTGGTTTTGAACTCCCAGCCTCAAGCTATCCTCCTGCCTCAGCCTCGCAAAGTGCTAGGATTAGAAGGTGTGAGCCACTGTGCCCAGGCAGTGTACCAAGATTTTTATAGATTAAATTCTAAGATCTGCTCCAAAATTAATTCAGTAAGATAGAGAAAGTAGAAGTAGATTAGTCATAAATAGCTGATGCTGGGTAATGATACATGGGAGTTCATTAGACTAGCCTGTCTACTTTTGTTTATGTTTTAAATTCTCTGTAATAATAATAAAAAAGTTGTTTGTTTTTGTAGTCCTCAAGAAGGGATACTCACTAGGGTCACAGCAAAGTTGCACTATATGACTCTGATTGCCTGGGTTATACCCAGAAAGCATCTAGCCAAACCTAGCCTAAGTTATGCTGGATTCTGCAGTCTTACCACAATGACTGAAGGAAGGGAAGAGCACAGTGGTTGTCGACTTGAGAAATAATTCTTTTTCTGTTCTTTTCTTTTCTTTTCTTTTTTTTTTTTTTTTTTTGAGACAGAGTCTTACTCTGTTACCCAGGCTGGAGTGCAGTGGCATAATCTTGGCTCACTGCAACCTCCACCTCCTGGGTTCAAGCGATTCGCCTCCCTCAGCCTCCCAAGTAGCTGATTACAGGCATGAGCCACCATGCCCGGCTAATTTTTGTATTTTTAGTAGAGAAAGTGTTTTGCCACTTTCATCAGTCTGGTCTCGAACTCCTGACCTCAGGTGATTCACCTGCCTCAGCCTCCCAAAGTGCTGGGATTACAGGCATAAGCCACCGCATCCAGCCAAAATAATTCTTTTTATGGACCTTGTACAACACCCCAAATGTAGAACTGAGTTGACATATTAAATTTGATGTTTAATCTTGGTTAAAACAACAACAACAAAAGGATAAAGATCATTTTCTGTGTTTTTTGCTTTATTTATTCAGAGTGAAACTGTTGCAATGAGCTAAATTTTTAGTTGTGCCTTGAGTGTGCTTCCCTCCTACATTCTTCTCTGGAAAAGTGAAGTAGCTTATCATTTCTTAGAAACCTGGATGCTGAAATTAGCCAATATTAGGATCTTATACGACCTGAGTGATGCCCAACTTGAGGCTTTGAATAGCTATTCATGTAAGTTGACTTTTCTGTGCATTTGTATTGAGGAGGATCCAGTTCAGGTTGATGTCCTGGGAACCAGTGAGGCTCTCGTTTAAATCCTGAGGGAAGGAAAAAAGGGAAGGAAAGACAAATTAAAACTGTCAACAAGAGGGAGTTTTAGTAACTGATCTTGCTCTTATTTCTAGGGACTAGACAGTAAGTTCTGTTAAAATTGAAGAAAAAAACTGTTTACTCATTCATTTACTTAGTTACCTTTTTTTTTTTCTTTTTTTTTTTTTTGAGATGGAGTCTATCACCCAGGTAGGAGTGCAGTGATGTGATTTCTGCTCACTGAAACCTCCACCTCTCGGATTCCAGTGATTCTCCTGCCTCAGCCTCCGAAGTAGCTGGGACTACAGGCATGTATCACCGCACCCAGCTAATTTTTGTATTTTTTTAGTGGAGATGGGGTTTCACCATGTTGGTCTGGAACTCCTGACCTCAAGTGATCTGCTTGCCTCAGCCTCCCCAAGTGCTGGGATTACAGGCGAGAGACACTGCGCCCAGCCTCACTTATTCACCTACTCAGTTTACTTTTATTTGAGTTCCTTCTATGTGCCAGTCACTGAGTTAGGTTCTCAAAATGTAAGAATTAGAAAAGACAGTCTACGTACTATGTGTTGAAAGTGGCATTTTGTTGTTGTAGCTTGTATCGTATGTTGTTTCAAAGTAGTGTCCAAACTGGAGAGAAAATTAACAGATTAAGAATCTGGAAGTACAGCTAACATTAGGAAATAAAGATCAATATGACATGAATTCTCATGGACTGTCATGTTTCAGATGGACTTGAGGTCTATGGTGTTAGTCTATATCCTTCCAACTTTCGTATCTTTTGTATTTTTGTTTGTTTAGGAGAGATTTAAGCACAAGACTCAGATAAATGACAAGTCTTGATAGGCCAGGACCAGGGGAAAAGCTAGCCTAAGTCAGAAGACATTATTAATTTCTGTAGATGAACAGATAAAGTCCAAACAGAAGTAAGAGAAAAGGAGGACGGCCCATACTTTTGAAACCTTACAGATAATAAAATATTCAATTTGACAGTAGAGTGGCATAAGTGGTTCAGCTGTGGACAGCTCCCCTGCCCCAACCACTTCACTGAGAGATCACTGCACTGGAAGTTATTACATCCCTGCATTTCAAATGGCCACTGCATTTCTTTTGCTAACAGAAGGAAACAAACAAACAAACAAAAAAGACAACGTTAGATTACCTGGGAAGGCAAGGGTTTGGGCTGCACGACATTCCTCAGGTCGTATCTTTCTTGGTTCCAGTTACCCATCAGGGTACGGTTTGAATAGGTATTCTCATTAGTGGTGCATCTCCATCCATACTGGAAAAACTTGGACGTACTATTCCAATCTGTCCACACTTCACCATGGCCATCTGCATGAATGAGGCTGCCACAGTGTGGGTTTGTGAGGAAACAGGCGAGGTTCTGTCTCTGGGAGAAGACAAGAATAGAAAAGCTTATTGAACAAACCAGGAAACAGGAAAAGCATCCTTTCCCGCCCTTGTTTTACACAGCCAGGTATAACACAAGCACATCTTAGATCCAGGCTTTGTTATGGTTCTGTTTCTTTCTAAGTCCTGGAACCCTTTGATCTATTCTGTCAGCAACAGTGGATGACTATATAGATTAAATCCACACCCCTGCTCCCCAGAACCCATGAAAAGACAGGAAAAACTTCAGTATTCCCAATACAATATGGAGAATTAGCTAAATTTTTAGGTAATTTTGAGATGTAGGCATTTAGGGACTAAGAACACTGCTATAGTCAAAGAGAATAGAAAGAAATAAGAGTTGAATAACTAGATAACACAGGAAATGAGTAATAAATAATCATTTCCTTCCTTCTAGCTCAAATGATGCCTTCCCTGAAGTTAGCTTGTTTATATGAAATGAAACTTTATCTTCATATCTTTCACTGTATTTATAACTTTATACCATATATTAGAGTTTTTAAAGTCTGTGTTATATCTCCCATACTGAGCTGTATGCCCCTAAAGGACAGGATCTGTTTTATTCATTATTGTACCCTGTCCTTCTGCCTGTCCTCCCCAATTAATCTGGTTTGCATATACCAGATAATCAATGTCTGATTTCATTTTTTATAAGGTAAAAGCTCAATCTTCCTTTTTTCCCCAAAATATAAGTCTGGTCCCCCGGCTTAGGAACAACGTAATACCTTCTCTGAAGAAGAGTAACTTGATGTTGAGTAGGTTGAGCTACTTGAAGATTTCTTAGGAGAGGGACAGAAATCCTTATTTGGCTGTTCCATGTTCTTTAAAGATGTCACCAAACCTGGCTTTCCTAGTTCTCCAAAGAAAGAATCACCCAGATTACCATGGGCAAGTGGCCATGTTTGGGAGTCACCACCCACTTGCCTTTGCACAGGCAGAAACAGAGCCAATAATGTGGCATTGAGGATGACATCTCAGGTAACTACCCTCATACAATCTGCCTTTGTGAAGACAGGTGCATGCACTGATGTTAGCAAACAACATGATGACCAGAGTAGTTGGTCCCACAAAGACCAATGGGCCTGGTACTCAGACTGGAGATCTAGGTGTCACTGTCTCTAGGGCTGGAATGACAGACATCCCCACCCACTCAGTTGTCCAAGCCAGAAGCCTGGAGCTTACCTTTCACTCTGACTTGTCTTTAATATTCATCCAATCACTAAGTCTTGTTGGGTTTTGAATCAGACCACTGTCCTCCATTCCTACTGGCAAACTTCAATTCAAATCACCATCAACCTTGTCTCCATTATTGCAGTTGCCTCTTGTCTTATCCTGCCATCCGCCTTGTTTTTCTCCAAACCTTTCTCAATAGGAAAGCAGAATTTTTCAAAATCAAAGTATAATTGTATCATCTTCTTACTTAAAATCTTTCAGTGGCTTTCCACGGGTTTCAGAATAAGGTTCAGCCTGCGAAAATAGCTTACAAAAGAACAGAACACCAAATACAGCATGTTCTTGTTACTGAAAGAGGTCCTGATCCAGATCCCAAGAAAGGGTTCTTGGATCTCATGCAAGAAAGAATTCAGGGTGAGTCCCTAAAGTGAAAGGAAGTTTAAGAAAGTAAAGGAATAAAGAATGGCTACTCCATATGCAGATCAGCTCCAACGGCAGCTGGTTGCCCATATTGTGGTTGTTGATTATACACTAAACAAAGAACAGATTATTCATACCTCCCTTTTTTAGACCATATAGGCTAACTTCCCAACATTGCCATGGCATTTGTACACTGTCATGATGCCGGTGGGAGTATAGCAGGGAGGACGACCAGAGGTCACTCTCATCGCAATCTTGGTTTTGATGGATTTTAGCTGGCTTCTTCACTGCAACCTGTTTTATCAGCAAGGTCTTTATGGCCTGTATCTTGTGCAGAGCTTTCTCATCCTGTGATTAAGAATGCCTTAACTTACTGGGAATGCAGCCCAGGTCTTAGCCTTATTTTGCCTAGCCCCTATTCAAGATGGAGTTGCTCTGTTTTAAACATCTCTGACATTCTTACTTATAAATGTGAGCTAAATATTGAGTACACATGGACCTAAACATGGAAATAACAAAACTATTAGGTGCAATATACCAATATAACAAACCTGCAACCTGCCTGGGTGCAATATCTCCAGGTAACAAATCTGTACATGTACTCCCATATCTAAAATAAAAGTTTATTATTATTTTTTAAAGGCTTACAATGCTCTCTATGACCTGGCCCTTGCCTAACTCTTCAGTCTCATCTGTTACTCACTCTCTCACCAACTGTGTTTCAGCCAAACTCAACTATTCTGTTTCTCCATCATGCTTTTACGTATATTGTTCCTTCTGCCTCTTCACGCCTCTTGACCCAGTTAAGGGGCACCTTTACCCTGTTAGCTTTCAACTCGGGTTCACCTCATCCAAGGAGTCTTTGACCCACTTTGCCCAAAATCTGGGTAAAGTTCTCCCTCTGTGTGCTCCCACAGCACGCTGAATCACTTCACGCACAGCACACACCCTACCATATCAGAGTTGCCTCTTTTGCTCTGTGCACTCCCCACCAGACTGTAGGCTCAGTGAAATCATAGGCCATATCTTGTTCATCCATATATCTTAACAACCCTCAGTGGCCTGGCACGTAAGCAGGCACTGAATAATCTTTTTTGAATGAATAGAAGATAGCAGATTGAAGCACCTGGAGGAGAAGTTTTGAACAGCAGAGACACTGAGATGCAGCCATTTCGGACGAGATGAAAAAGGTTTCAAAATCCTCTGCGTCTGGGGCAGGCGAGACACAGTACAACCTCTCCTTGGCCTCAGCCCGGCCCCGTTTCTTTCACTCAGAACTCTTCTCACACCCCAGCGTTAGAGACTGCTTGTGACCTCATGCAGGTGTGAAGTCGCTCCAGGCCATGCTCTGGGCTGAAGGCACTTTGATCTTCCCGAAGGGGTGAAAGGGCGAGGGGACAGGAGAGTGGGCGTCCCGCTTTTAAACTCATAGTTATTATTCTCCCTGGGAGTCGGTGCACCAGTTCGTCTAGACAACCGGACGCCATGAGTACGTCATCAACTAGTGACGGGTGAAGGGGGAGGAAAGGCAGAGATCCGAGAAGGAAGTGACGTAAAATGAGCGCCACAGAGAACGCGAGCCGGGAGCCCAAGGAGGACATGGCCCCTCGGCGCCTCCTGTTGGTAGGGGAGGGGAATTTCTCCTTCGCCGCCGCTCTGAGCGAGACCCTGGATCAGAACACTCGTCTTACCGCCACCTGCCTCCAGCTCCCGGCCGAGTTGGCTCGGGATCCGGTGGCCCAGGAGAATCTGCAGTGCCTGCGTGAGCGAGGTAGCGAGACCCCGCCTCTGCGAAGCCCCGCCCAGCTGCTGGCACGTCCCAGAGTGGAAAGGGTGGGGGCGTGGGGTTGTAACACACATGGAGATTGTTCTTGATCGTCCCACGGATTTTTTACATAAAGCCGGCTTTGTGCCCAGACTTGGGCTGGTCTGCACGGTTTAGGTTAGGAAGTTTTTCTGTTCCACGCCTTAAGACATCCTCCTGTCTATATTTTGCGTCCCCAAACTATCTTTGCCAGGTATTGACGTACGTTTCGGCGTCGACTGCACCCAGCTGTCAGATGTCTTTGAACTGCACGACAGGGAATTTGATCAGATTTATTTCAACTTTCCGCACTGTGGACGCAAAGCTGGCGTAGCTAAGAACAGGGAACTGCTTGCCAAGTTTTTCCAAAGGTGAGGAAAGGAGAGCCCTCACAAGTAAAATGTTTAAGATGTCCATAACGTAGTTACTGCACGCAAACATAAGGCACACGTGTAAGCTACTATGATATGTTTAGAAGAGAATGAAAAGCCCCAAAGGAACCCCCAATTTAGTTGGAAAGACATATATAAACCCTAAATGCTAAATAAAAGTACAAATAGTGTACTCTTGGGCGTCTAAAAGAGGATCATTTATTTTTGATCATGCAAAATAATGAGAGCCATATAGTCTAATGGCTAAGAACGTGCACTTAGAAACCAGACTGCCTGGATTCAAATTCCACTGAACAGTTATTTTTAGCAAGCTTACTTAATCTTTACATGCTTCTGTTTCCTCAACTGTAAACTAGGGATATTAATAGTAACTAACTAGGCCAGGCGTGGTGGCTCACGCCTGTAATCTCAGCACTTTGAGAGGCTGAGGTGGGCAGATCACCTGAGGTCAGGAGTTTGAGACCAGCCTGGCCAATGTGTTGAAACCCCGCCTCTACTAACAATACAGAAATTAGCCAGGCGTGGCCGCACGCCCCAGTAGCCCCAGCTACTTGAGAGGCTGAGGCATGAGAATCGCTTGAACTCAGGAGGTAGAGGTTGCAGTGAGCTGAGATCGTGCCACTGCACTCCAGCCTGGGCAACAGAGGGAGACTCTGTTCCCCACCTCCAAAAAAAAAAGTAGCAGCCTCCTTCATAAAATTATTATGAACTTAAAACAGCGCTTTACATGATTATACCACAAGATATGATACTATTGGAGGTGTCTGATGGGGCTTAGCTGTCAGTAAACTTTTGACAGAGGCAGTATTTTAAGCTAGTATTTGGATTGCAAGAGGGCAGTGAAAAGAATTTTCTAAATGGGAAGAAACAGCCTAAGCAGTGAATCATGTATAGGAACTGTGGAGATACTGACCTTTCTATGACATACAGATGAACGACACAAATGCAAAGCAGACCCTGGTCAGCCAATAGTATCCATTAGTGGGTCGAACATTTCATTTATATTTGCATTTACTTCCAGCTACTTTCTTTGTATTTTGGGGGTCTAATAGATTTTTGCACAGAGGTATGATTAGATTTTAATTATTGCACTGGCAAACCATGTGTATGCTGCCAACTTCTGTGGTAATTTCCACGTGTTTATGATAATTAGTTGGTGTTTCTTTTCTCCCTATTAGCTGTGCAGATATTCTTGCAGAGGAAGGAGAAGTCCATGTGGCATTATGTAGAGGACAAGGTGGAACTCCTGAGGATAAGCCCCAGAGAGAATGGCACAACAGCTGGCAAGTGGTTGCCATGGCAGCCCTGGGTGGGCTCATTTTAAGTGACGTGTATCCATTCAGCTGTAAAGCTGTGCCAGGGTACAAGTGTACTGGATATAGGTAGGTAATAGCATAGGTCTAAACCTTCTGCTTTTTCATCTGTCTCCCTAATGATAACAAAATCTCATAGACAGACTTACAGGCCCTGCCAATTAACTGTTTCAGTCTCTAAAAATACTTGTTTATATTAATAATGACAGACTTCATGTTGGTGTCTATTTTGCAAGGAGTCAAGATAAGTCCTTTCATGTAGAAGGTGCTTTGAACCATGTCTTCACCAGGAGCTTACCCTTCGAAGATGCTCAACCCAGAATCTTCAGGATCAAACTGGGTAACCAGTGGTTTTCCTTTCGAGAACCAGAAGCACTTTTAGGAAAGTTGAACAGGTAACTGGAAGTCACTTTCATCTCCAGCTGTATCGTGATTGTCTTGATGGCAACCATATATTGATGGATGGTACATAAATTGTTAGTGATGCTGGTGCTATGTTTATTTGTCAGCCTGGCCTCCTTAAGCTTCTTTAGAATTCAAAATTGTTGTATTTTCTGATATATTGTAGGGATGGTGGCTGTCACAGTTCTGAAATACCTATCTCTTTCTCCTTATGTAGATGATTTCTTTGTTTCCTTTCAAGATCATTTTAAGAATAATTCTTTTGTATCCAGCTATTTGTGTTTTAATTCTAGCTACATTATAATTATTTACTGTTTTAAGTTAGAAAAATTATTTTTGTATGTGTTTAAACAGGGGTTTCCTGGAAGCACCTTCATGTCATCCTATCAAAACCATAAATGAGAAACTCATTGATGAATTAGGCAAAGCTTTCCCTCTAAAAAGGCTGAAGTGTTCCTTCCCTTTGCTGCCACAGGTAGGTGCCAGTGTTCTTCCTTTCTGGAACTGTGACTTTCTATCAGCTGCTTTTTGGATTAGTCTCCATGAAGATAACTCAAATTCGGAGTCCCTGACTGGTGGGGCATCACAAGATGTGGAAGACTTTCTAGTGTCATTTTCAGAACTTAGCCTTCCCAAGAATCCTGGAAGAGATGGTAAAGACGAAGCTTGTGAAGGAATCTGTGGCCAGGCTAAGGTCTGCCTTAGACCTTCTCTCTTAGTTCATGTTCAGGATATTATCGAAGTACCAGACTTCCTCTCAGGTTCTCTGCACATCCTCAGTGGACCTGTCTTTCAGAAGTGCCACATTTTGCCTTTCACAATGCCAGCATTTCATGAGACTTTATTTATCCTTGGGTTTAATAAAAATCTGAAGGATGGCTGTCTTCAATCACTGCTGGATCATCTGAAGGGCATTGTAGATAGCCTGCTGACTCAGACATCGCCAGAGATCTCTAAGCTGAGCAGTTCAGTTGAATTTGTCCTTCAGTCAAATGGAAAGGATTATATGATTTGTGTAAAGACTGATAATTTTAGCCCAGATTGTACTGAGGATCTAATTATTGGGTCTGTTACCACATCTGCAACAAGCATTATACATAAAGACCGGTGTTTTGTGTTTGTGTCTATGAACTTGGACTTACTAGCCATGCTTGTCTGGTGTATCTCTGACTGGAGAATGTTGTGGACATTTGATAACCGTTTCCTGAAAAATTTCCTCCCTGGAAAAATAGAACCCTTTAAAAGTCATTCTCTGTATCCTCCATGTTATGTCCATGATATTAGTTTTTGGATAGATGAGAAGAAAGGATTTGATGAACTAGAGTTTCACACTGTGGCCCGAGCAGTGTCCCAGGACACTGTTACATCCATACAGTTTCTTAGCCGTTATCAGCATCCAAAGACTCAACAGGTCAGTCTCTGCTATAGATTGACCTACCAGACCTGTGACAAGGCCCTCACCCAGCAGCAGGTAGCATCAATGCAGTCCCAGTTTAGGGCGGAGATTCAACAACGCCTATATGTTACACCTCGGTAGTTTAAATGCTTTTCTACAGTGTGATCCTACATTGCGGGGGATGTGGAGGAAAATGACCAACTTCTAACCAGTACTCCTATCTGGATTTTTTTTTAATCTTTTACTTTGTGACCATAGCCACTGTTGGTTGATCCTAAAGATACCTTGACTCTGTCACGTTAACTTAGAGATTATAATGTGATTGGTGACATTTGGAGTTGTGCAATATTTTGGTCCTGAGAAGTGACTGAAACAATAAGCAAAACAGCATTTTGTACTCTAGATGCTCTGTTGCTGGAGAAGGCTGGAGAACTTAGGAGTCTCATTAAATATACATGTTTTCCACACTGTGGATTATTCTTCCCTCAACTTTCTTGCGTCATTTCATTAAAGCACCTTATGAGAGTTATTTTTGGAGTCAGACCATTTATTAGCTTGGTAAGTTGCAAGTGTTCCATGTTGGTTTTGGTATTGTCACCATCATCCTAATTTTAGTTCTGTGGCTGACTCGTTAAAGTCATGGAACTAATAAAGCTTCAGATTTAGGGTTAACATTTGGATCCTCTAAAGCCCATATTCTTTTTTTTTTTTTTTTGAGATGGAGTGTCGCTCTTGCTACCCAGGCTGGAGTGCAATGGCACGATCTCGGCTCACCGCAACCTCCTCCTCCTGGGTTCAGGCAATTCTCCTGCCTCAGCCTCCTGAGTAGCTGAGATTACAGGCACGTGCCACCATGCCCAACTAATTTTTTGTATTTTCAGTAGAGACGGGGTTTCACCATGTTGACCAGGATGGTTTCGATCTGTTGACCTCATGATCCACGCCTCGGCCTCCCAAAGTGCTGTGATTACAGGCTTGAGCCACCGCGCCCGGCCAAGCCCATATTCTTTCTGCCACTTTGTTGCTCTTTTGCTAGTCTTAACAGTAATGGTTCAACTGTGATTAACTCTAAACTTTGCCTCTCTAGATTTTGGGGCCTTCTGTTATAAGTACCTCTAAGGGACACTGGAAAATTAACTTAGCCTAGGTTTCTGCAGAATGCGGTACTCTAATGTGAAGTAATGTATGCTCCTGTTCGTAGTTAGGCTCCACATTTGGGATTATATTCTGTGAGGGACATGACTGTCTTATTTATTCTCGGAGAAAAGCATTTGGGAAAGCAAAAATGGAGGCACAGAGACAAATTAGGAGGTTATTGCAGTAATGCAAATAAGATCATGACGACCTGGACCAAGGTGGTAAAATGTTGGGTTGGATAATATTTGGAAGGACCTGCTGATGAATTAAACGTTTGTGTGTGGGTGAGAGAGATGTGGGGTTAGAGAAATAAAGGAATTAAGCAGGACTCCTCAGTTTTTGACCTGTATACCTAGAAGAATAGAAGTCATTCACTGGGATGGAAACACTGCCATAGGAGTAAGTTTGGGGAGTGGGATAAAGAACCAAGGGATCTTTTACAGACACGTCTATGGCTGAGCTCTCCACATAGCCTACTTTGCTAATTGATGGCAGGTAATGTGATTTATCCCTTTCTTCTTTCCTCAGTAGTGCTTGGTATATGGAGGAGGGAGTGTTTGAGCTGGATCTTAAAACAAGGGCAGGACTGTAAAGGAGAATTATTAGGCAAGCAGGGTGTGCATTTCAGGCAGGGGGAATCCATGAACAGAGATACAGATAAGGGAGCATTTGGGGATACTTTCTAGGCTAGTTAGCTGGAATGTAAAGTGTGAATAGGAAAGTAGTGGGAGGTTAGATTCGAAAGGTAGGTTGGGGCTGGAGTTCATGCAAGACCAAATGCTAGAATAAGGAGTTTGTACTTTACTTGGTAGGCAATAGGAAAAAATCTGATTTTTTTACTAAGGAAGTGACACAGAGTAGTGCTTTGGAAAATCAACCAAATAACGTTGTGCAGGATGAATTTGAGATGAGTGACCCCTGTGAAGATGCTGTTGCGTTAGTTCTAGGTAGAGAGGTAAACGAAAAGGAGGAGATGGGTATATGAGATAAGCTAGGCTTGGTGCAGTGGCTCCTGCCTATAATCCCAGCAGTCTGGGTGGCTGAGGCAGGTGCATCACTTGAGGCCAGGAGTTACAGACCAGCCTGGCCAACATGGCAAAACCTAATCTCTACTAAAAATACAAAAATGAGCCAGTGTGGTGGTGCACACCAGTAGTCTCTGCTACTTGAAAAGCTAAGCAATGACAATCTCTTGAACCTGGAAGGCAGAGGTTACAGTAAGCTGAGATTGTGCCACTGTCAGCCTGGGTGACCAAGGAAGACTCTGTCTCAAAAAAACAAAAACAAAAAACAAAGCTAAGCTGGATACTTGAACTTGGTAACTAATGACTGCATGGCGTGCACAATATGATCAATTTTCATTTTCAATACTTAGGAATTTTTAGTAGGAAATCACAACCTTCTGGGACCTCGTCAAGGTTAGTGTTCCCTCTATACAGTTAATGGCATGGAGCTCCACAGAGTGGGATACAGCTCTGTGATTAGGGGAGTGGATAGAGTGTCAGGATTAGATGAATGACCCCCAAGAGTCACAGGTATGATATTATTAACGTGCTAGTATAAAAAGGATTGTAGGAAATGAAGACCTTTCACCCGATCTGGTGGGAAGAGCATGGGCTTTCTGGTAAGATAGTCCTGAGCTGGAATATAGATGCACCATTTACTAGCTCCAAGTTTATTTAGTTTCTGGATCAATAAAACAAAGTGGTTGAATTAAGTTTAAAAAGCATAAAATATGTACAATGCCTACCACAACGCTGAAGTAGCAATGACAGTGATGGACGTCTGATTCAACTTGCCGCACAGAATTTCATCAGTCTACATTCTGCCATTACCAGTTTGTCAGTCTGAAGCAGTTTTTAGCTACAGGCTGTCTCTGTCGCTCTCACCAAAATACAGAGAAGGCAAGGTGTTAAAAATGACATTTTAAGGACTTCTCTTTTAGTAGATAGCTGTGCTATGATATTTAACTGAATACTCCACATTTCACTATGTAGATCACTTTCTATTTGTGCTTTCATTTAAATAGGGGAGCTGAGGTGCCGTGTGTGCGTGCGTGTGTGTGTGTGTGTGTGTGTGTGTGTGTTTGGAATGGAGAATGTTGAAAAGTGACGGACGAGAGGGTTGGAGGAAGGTAGGAATGGCCAGAGTTAGAGAGTTAGAAGTAGGTGGATGGGACAGCACGGATGAAGAAACTCTAGGCTCAGGTTCTATTTCTCCGCTACTCGAGGATCTGCCCCATTGGCCCAGTAACTCTACAATTTAGTCTTTTCTGCGCATGTCAAGATCTTTTGTCCCTCGGCAGACACCGTTTGCCAGCCAAAGCTCTGTCTCCGCGTTCACCGACTTCATAGGGTGCCGAATTCTTTTTTCCCCTAGCTTGCCATGGCGAGCCGAGGGGCTCGTCAGCGCCTGAAGGGCAGTGGGAGCAGCGGTGGGGACTCGGCCCCGGCCGCGGACAAGCTGCGGGAGCTGCTGGGCAGCCGTGAGGCGGGCGGCGCGGAGCACCGGACTGAGTACGTCTGCGGCGCGGCAGGGGCGTGGCCGGCCGGGTGGCCGGCGCGGCTGGAGGGTCTCAGCAGTGTCGCGCGGGGGCTCCGTCTGGCCTGTCCTCCCCGCCGAAGGCCCGAGCTCCCTCTTCAGCTAGGTCCTATTGCTCTTCCTGGGCGGGTCAGCATTCGGTCTTCGCCCACCTTAGATCCCTGCACTGCGGGTCCCCCTCTTCTGTAAAACAGTGGAGTGCGGGTCTGTGATGCTCCTAGGCTAGGCCGAGCGTGGGCACAGCGTCTGTGGGAGATGTTGGCAGGATGAAAGAGTAAACCTTGTACGGCTGTTCCTCACAGCTCCTTTTATTCTCCCTCAAGTTCCGACCCTTTACTGGGCCCACCCAACCGGCCACCACGTCTTCCCGAACCTGGGAGGCAGCAGGTTAGAACTGCATTAAAGAAGCCGTCAGCGTATGGAATTGGAGTAGGCTGTCCGTAGCTTGCACCTAGGCTTCTGTTTGAACTTAAGGGGTGAGGCATAAAGCCGTGAAAAGCAATGACCTTGCTAAGAAAAGAAAGAAAATGAGAATGACCGCTTTGCAGCCTTCAAGTGAGTGATTAGTTGGCTTGGGAGAAATGGACTGTGGCAAATGCAAGGAGCTGAAGTGTATGAGTTAATTTATGCCTGAAAAACAGGAAGTGGAAGGAGTGATAGAGTGATTCAAGTCAACTCTTCAAAAGGCCGAGGCAGGAAGATTACTTGAGCTGAGGAGTTTAAGTCCAGCCTGGGCAACACAGCAAGACCCTATCTCATAATTTTATTTTTTATTTTTGAGATGGAGTTTCGCTCTTTTCGCCAAGGCTGGAGTGCAATGGCACGATCTCTGCTCACCTCAACCTCTGCCTCGCAGGTTAAAACAATTCTCTTGCCTCAGCCTCCCCAGTAGCTGGGATTACAGGCATGCACCACCACACCTGGCTAATTTTTGTTTTTTTTTAGTAGAGATGGGGTTTTTCCATGTTGGTCAGGCTGGTCTCAAACTTCCTACCTCAGGTGATCCACCTGCCTTGGCCTCCCAAAGTGCTGGGATTATAGGCGCGAGCCACCACGCCCAGCCACAATTTTTTTCTTGAAAATCTGAATTATTTATTCATTGTACTGAGAAAGAACAATTAGCCATTCACCTTTTTAGGTGAATAAGTGCTTTGATGTCCCTTGGCCTTTTTGCCCTTTCTATCTATTTAGGTCTTCTGATTAGTAGGTCCTTCCTGACATTTTTTTTTTTTTTTTTTGCTTCTAAACAGGTTATCTGGGAACAAAGCAGGACAAGTCTGGGCACCCGAAGGATCTACTGCTTTCAAGTGTCTGCTTTCAGCAAGGTTATGTGCTGCTCTCCTGAGCAACATCTCTGACTGTGATGAAACATTCAACTACTGGGAGCCAGTAGGTGATTTCTTTAGCTTTCTCTTTTTGTTCTTGATTTTGCAGCATAGGAGTTACTACCAATCGAGAGACAAATAATACACAAGTGTGACTACTAGTAAAATAACTGTATTTTCTTTAAAAAAAAAAAAAAAAAGGCAAAAAACAGGCCTGGTGTGGTGGCTCATGCCTGTAATCCCAGCACTTTGGGAGGCCGAGGCAGGTGAATCACCTGAGGTCAGGAGTTCGAGGCAAGCCTGACCAACATGGTGAAACCCATCTCTACTAAAAATACCAAAATTAGCTGGGTGTGGTGGCAGGCGCCTATAATCCCAGCTACTCGGGAGGCTGAGGCAGGAGAATCACTTGAACCCTGGAGGTGGGGGTTGTAGTGAGCCGAGGTCATGCCACTGTACTCCAGCCTGGGCAACAGAGTGTGACTCCATCTCAAAAAAAAAAACAAACAAACAGAGATGACAGCTAACTATGTCACCCAGGCTGGTCTTGAACTTCTGGGCTCAAGCTGTCCTCTCGTCTTGACCTCCCAAAGTGTTGGGATTACAGGCATGAGTCACTGCACCTGGCCAGTAACTTTTGTTCACTTTTGTATTCTAAGCAGTTGATGTACCTGCTACTGAAGGCTGTGGGGAATTTAGCTGGTTTACACAAAGGTGTAATTTGTAATTTTCTTATAAGTTTTTTAAAATGAAAATAATACCTAGAGATGGTTTTTAAAGCTAACAACTACTAAAAAGCCTAAAGGAAAAACAGTAGCTTTCTATTCTACTTCCTGTGTCCAAATCCTACTTTCCAGAGGCAACCACTTTCTTTCACTTTTTAAGTTATATCTTCTGATGGTTACCAAAATAGTGTTACTAAATAGTATGCTTCTATTGCTATTTCTTGATTTATGCGTTGTCTGTTGACTTCTATTATAGAAAATCAGAGGTAAAATTTTCTGATCGCATTTTGAATTCAAAAAATGAAGAAAGAATGTTAAGTGTAGGTTGTTTAAGGAAAATATAAAATTTAGAGGTTTTCTGTTTTGGCTAACAAGTATTGAGGAAAAATAAGTAGAAGGTAAAATTCAAGCTTTCAGTGTTGACCAAACAGCAATCTTGTAAAATTTATAATGTCTTAATATTTTAAATATGGGGTCATTTTGATTCCTTTTTTATCCATCAGTTGCAAAAATCTTGTAGAGAATGTTAGCATTACTGTATACCTTTGTCTCTTTAAAAAAAATTTTTTTTTTGAGACAGAGTCTTGGTCCATCGCCCAGGCTGGAGTGCAATGGCATGATCTGGGTTCATTGCAACCTCTACTTCCGGGGCTCAAGTGATTCTCCTGCCTCAGCCTCCCTAGTAGCTGGGACTATAGGCATGCACCACCATACCATGCTAATTTTTGTGTGTGTGTGTGTGTGTGTGTGTGTGTTTTTTTTGTAGAGATGGAGTTTTGCTATGTTGCACAAGCTGATCTTCAATTCCTGGGCTCAAGCAGCCTGCCTGCCTTGCCCTCCCAAAGTGCTGGAATTATCAACCTGAGCCACTGTGCCTGGCCTGCCTTTGTCTTTAGTATTTCTACTCAGAAACTTGCATCTGCTTACCAGAGATTTTTGGCCAGTATAACCCTGAATCTATCTGTTTTGTATTTTTAGACACACTACCTCATCTATGGGGAGGGATTTCAGACTTGGGAATATTCCCCAGCCTATGCCATTCGCTCCTATGCTTACCTATTGCTTCATGCCTGGCCAGCTGCATTTCATGCAAGAATTCTACAAACTAATAAGGTAAGGACAGACCTACCTGAAAGAAATCACAATTGATTAAGAGGTGAGTCTCTAGTATAGTTTTGAGAAAAGGACAAAATAGATTGGTAGTTAAAGGGGAACTTATTTTGAAGAATAATCATTTATTCATTCATTCAACAAGTATTAATGGAACAGCTTTTATTTGGTAGACACTGTATTAAGTGCTGTGGCTATAACAGTAACCAAGTCCCTGACTTAATGAAACTTGTGGTTTAGTGGAAAAGATGAACATTGAACAAGTCATTCTAAATATGGTGGGTCTTAAGCAGGAAAAGTACAGTGTGCAATGGAATAGCGTATTAGGAAGGCCTAATTTAAGCAGAGTGCTGAGAAATAATTAGGTGTTAACTGGGACCTACCTAACCTGATTAGTTTTCAGAAATTTGATTATGATGTGTCTCGGTGTGGATTTCTTTGGTTTGTCTTGTTTGGAGTTTATTCAGCTTCTTGAATCTTTAGGCTTATTCCTTTTGCCAGATTTGGAAAGGTTTTAGTTTTATTTTTTTGAATACTTTCTCATCCTTGTCCTTTTTCCTCTTCTCTGGAATTTCGATGATGTGAATGTCAGGTCTTTTGTTATTAGTCCCCCAGGTTCCTGAGACTCTGTTTTCAATTTACTTTCTCTCTGTTGTTCACATTGAGTAACTTTTGTTCTTCTATCTTCCACTTAACTGATTCTTTCCTCTGCCCGCTCTTCCAATGTTGAGTCCATCCATTGCATTTTTAGTTTGTTCTACATATATATATATATATATATATATATATATATATATATATATTTTTTTTTTTTTTTTTTTTTTTTTTTGAGACAGAGTTTCGCTTTTGTTACCCAGGCTGGAGTGCAATGGCGCGATCTCGGCTCACTGCAACCTCCACCTCCTGGGTTCAGGCAATTCTCCTGCCTCAGTCTCCCAAGTAGCTGGGATTACAGGCATGCGCCACCATGCCCAGCTAATTTTTTGTATCTTTAGGAGAGACGGGGTTTCACCATTTCGACCAGGATGGTCTCGATCTCTTGACCTCATGATCCACCCGCCTCGGCCTCCCAAAGTGCTGGGATTACAGGCGTGAGCCACCACGCCTGGCCGCTATGTATATTTTCAATTTAAAAATTTCCATTTGGTTTTTCTAATTTTTTATCTTCTAATTTTTTTTACTGAGGCTTTCTGGTTTTTCATTTGCTTCAAGCATATTCTTAATTATTCATTGAAATATTTTTACAAAGTCTGCTTTAAATTTCCTTAGATAATTCTAACACCTCTGTCATCTTGGTATTGGAATCTATCGATGGACTTTTTTCATTCACTTTGAGATCTTCCTGGTTCTTGGTGTGGACATTTAAGGTATTGCATTATAAGATTCGGGATTATTCATGGGCTCAGCATGCTTTCTTTGCACTGTTATGATCCCTTGGATCTTATTTAAGCCTTCAGTTTTAGCTGGCTTCTTTTGATACTACTTGCCACTAGCCCAGCAGGGAAAGAGTGTTAGTGGGAAGTCTCTACCTTGCTACCACCAAGTGGAGGTAAAACTTCAGGTTCCCTCCACTAACATCTGAGGAAGGGGGTCTTTTTTTGTTATTGCTGGGCAAGGGTAGGAGGTCTTACTCTCCTAGGCCTCCACTGATACCACCCCGCAGGTAGAGTAGAAGCATCTTGACAGATTGGAGTTGGGTGTGGAAGTTCAGCTTCCCTAAGTGGTTGCCACTGACACCATGATTGGGGAGACATTACTATCAGTGGGGATGAAAGTCCTGGCTTCCTAACTGACCTCTGATGCATGGGTGGGAGTGGGTATTTGTCCTGACTAAAGTAGTTATTTTCCAAAAGTTTTTTCATCATGCTAGGCTATCCTTTTCTTGGTCCTTTGGCTACAGAGCCGATCTTGGTTGGGGTATTTTTGTTTTCTGTGCCCACTGGCATTTTCAGTTGCCAGCTTCTTTAGCTTCATGCCTAGAATACGCCAAGCAAAAAGAAAACCCATGGAATTTACCGCTGTGTTGTTCCTCCTGTCCCAGATTCTGTAGCCAGCCTGCTTTTTTCTTTCCACCTTCAGAGTCGTCTTAGTTTGGTTTAACTACATTGTCCAGAGTTTTTGGTGGTTTTTAAAGTTGCTTTAAGTATAGTGTCCACGAATGGAAGAAAAGTCCATTTTCCATGAAGCAGAAGTCCCTAATTAGAGAACTGAAGGATAAGCAGGAGTCCTCTAGGAAAAGGAAGAGTGGGAATGAGGGAGAAAGTTGGGAACAGTCTTCTAGACTGATGGCCCTGAGGATGGGAAGAAGGACAGCATGGCCTTGTATAAACAGGTATGACACTTGAAAGAGAGGGCGTGGTGGAATAGATTAGATGAGACTGAGAATTAACAAGATGCCAGATTTCTACAAGACCTGGTAGGATCTATTAAGACATTAGACTGTTGTCCTTTTTCTTCCAAGTCTGTTGTGTGAAGCCACTGAAAGGTTTTAGACAAAAGAGGTATGATTGCATTTGCATTTTAGAATGATCAGAAAGGTAGCACCTGCAGAAAGTGACAGAAATACTGTCCCTCCCTTCCCTATCTAGTATCTCATTTCTGTTTTGTTTTTTTTTTAAATGAGTTGAAGTCCTGCTCTGTTGCCCAGGCTAGAGTGCAGTGGTGCCATCATAGCTTACTGCAACCTCTGCCTCTCAGGTTCAAGCAATTCCCATGCCTCAGCCTCCTGAGTAGTTGGGATTACAAGCATGAGCCACCACACTTGGCTAATTTTTTTTTGTATTTTTAATAGAGACAGGGTTTCACCATGTTGGCTAGTCTGGTCTTGAACTTCTGACCTCAAGTGGTCCACCTGCCTTGGCCTCCCAGAGTGCTGGGATTATAGGTGTGAGCCACTGCACCTGGCCTCATTTATGGTTTTTTGAACTTGTCAAAGGAAAGATAATAAAGGGTGAAGGACTCAGTAGAAAACTAACAATATGTTATGCAGAGGATTTTTATTTCCTCTTGGGTATCAAATTTTACATGTTTAACACAGAATTCTTCCTCTTCTCTAATCCTCTTACATCACTGATGTACACAGCAAGCGAAATGGAAAGCAAGATTTCTCTTCTGTTGTTCTTTCTTCTGATCTCCTTTTTCCTAGCCACCTGGCAAAGGGGAATTGTAGCTTAGGGAGTCACAGCCCCGGCATCATAACGCTGAGTTGAGAAGGATGGTTGTTTCTGAGAGACAGTGTGGTAACAACTGGCACCTCTAGTGATCGCTACCTTCTCAATCTCTTGCTACCCCAAATGAAAGCACGTTTGTATTGTCTCTTCCTGGACCTGTTTGTGAATTTCTCTGAAGTGTACACTCAGAAGTGAGATCCCACACATAGATCCATGGGCTCACTTAATCTCAGAGTTCTGCCAGATTGCTTTCCAGATGGCTGCACAACCTTTATGTTCCCTACAGCAGCACTCCAGCTTCCATCTTCCTCACATCTCCTGGGCCTTTGATGTTTCTGACTTCCTCATGCATGTGAAATGCTTCTCACTTTAATTGAATTTCTCTGATAACTAGTAAATTGGAGCATTTCTTCATATATTTATTACTCATTTGGAGCTTTCTTTCTGTGAATTACACATTCACATCCTTTGTCTATTTTTCTGTTGGGTTTTCTATTTCATTCTTCCAATTTGTAGACATTCTCATTAGTAACCCCCTATAGGTTATAGATATTGTATATATTTTCTCTTACACTGTTACCTCTCTATTACCTTTGTCTGTGGTCCTTTGTTGAACAGTAATCTTTAATTCAATGTGGTCAAACCAATCTATTTTCCTCTTGTGTTTGGTGGATTTGGGGTCTTTCTAAAAGAAATCCTCCTTCACCACAGGTCATAGAGATATTCTTCTATATTTTCTTCAATTAGCTTATTAGCTTTTTTTTTTTCTTTTTTTTGAGACAGAGTCTTACTCTGTCACCCAGGCTGGGGTGCAGTGGTGCAATCTTGGCTCACTGCAACCTCCTCCTCCCAGGTTCAAGCAGTTCTCCTGCATCAGCCTCCTGAGTAGCTGGGACTACAGGCATGTGCCACTGTGCCCAGCTAATTTTTGTATTTTTAGTAGAGAAGGGGTTTTGCCATGTTAGCCAGGCTGGTCTCGAACTCCTGACCTCAGATAATCCACCAGCCTTGGCCTCCCAAAATACTTATATTCAATTAGCTTTTAATTTTATCTTTTACATGTAAGGCTTTAATTATTTGAAGTTTATTTTATAAATTGTGGAAAGATCCAGCTTTATTTTTTACTTTGTGGTGAACTGGATTTTCTAGCACCATCTGCCAGATAACCCACCTTTTTCCTTCTCATTTGTAATACCACCTCTATCATACACCTCATTCCTGTATGTATATCAGTTCTTTCTATTGTCTTTATTCTTTGTCATTGGTTAGTTTACTGCCATGCTGCTTTTATTATTGTGGCTTTGTAATGTATGTCAGTATCTGGTGGATGAATTTCTCACTTTATCTTTTTTAAAATTTATATTTTAAAAATCATCTTAGAATCAGTTTACCCTTCACCCAAATTTTGCTAGGTTTTGATTAGAGTTGTACTGAATTTACATATTATTTTGAGAATGAATACTTTTATTTGACTTGACTTTATTTTATCTTTTGAGACAGGGCCTTGCTCTTTTTCCCAGACTGGAGTGCAGTGGTGCAGTAATAACCTACTGCAGCCTCAGAATCCTGGGCTCAAGGGATCCTCCCACCTTAGCTTCATGAGTAGCTAGGACCACAGACACCTGCCACCACGTCCAGCTAATTTTAAATTTTTTATAGACTTAGAGTCTTACTATGTCGTCCATGCTGGTCTTGAACTTGTGGCCTCAAGCAAACCCCTTGCCTAAGCCTCCCAAAGGGTTGGGATTACAGGCAAGTGTCACTGCACTCAGCAGAATTAACACTTTTACAGTGTTAAGTCATTCTGTCCCTAAAATGATATATTTATCCATTTAGTCAAGTTTTCTGTGTCTTTTAATACATTTTTTTTACACTTGATCTTACCTAAAGGCCAAGAGTTGATAATTTTTTTTAAAGTATTGATTTCAGTCTTGTGTAGTCTGATAGGTTAATGCCTAGATTCTTTGCACTTTTTGTTGTGATCATAAATGGTATGTTGTTTTCTTTTATTTTTATCTTAATACCGAATGTCTTGCTGAATTTCCTCGTTAGTGTCAATGGTTTGTCAGGTGAAGCTTGTGGGTTCTCTTTCATCTTTGTATATTAAGTTTAGTTTCTTCCATTCTATTACCTCATTTTATTTTTGTGTCATTGTGCTCTGACTAGAACTTCCAGTTGAATATTAGTAGGGATGGTGGTGTTTGTCCTGCTCTCAAACAGAATTCTTAAATTAATTCATGTTAAATTTTAACTTTCTAAATATGTCTATGTACTCTCTCTAATTAGATAAGGTATCCTTAAATGTATAAACTTTATACTAAAATTCTCTATGTTCCTAGTAGCATCTAGAATACTGCTCAGTATGTGGTCAGTAGACTTTCAGTATATTTTTATTGAATTAATGAATAAATTTGGGCATTTACAAGATACTTTATACAAGTTTTTAAAAAATTTGTAGCTTATAATCATGAAAATGGAAGGTAATTTTCATGTTATATGCAGTTACAGTAATCATACCATATATATATATATATATATATATATTTTTTTTTTTTTTTTTTTTTTTTTTTTTTTTTTTTTTTCTTGAAACGGAGCCCTTCTCACTCTGTCACCCAGGCTGGAGTGTGGTGGAGTGATCTCGGCTCATTGCAACCTGCAACTCGCAGGTTCAAGCGATTCTCTTTCCTTAGCCTCCCAAGTTGCTGGGATTACAGAGGCCCGCTACCAGACCCAGCTAATTTTTTTTGTATTTTTAGTAGAGATGGGGTTTTGCCATGTTGGCCAGGCTGGTTTCAAACTTCTGACCTCAGGTGATCTACCCTCCTTGGCCTCCCAAAGTGCTGGGATTACAGGCTTGAGCCACAGTACCCGGCCAGTCATATTATATATTAAGTAGTGTTTATTTTCTGAGAAATTCAGTGCTCTTAAACATATGGTATTCTGTAGTATAAAGCTATTCAATCTAACCCCTATTTTATTATTTTTATTTTTTAAATTGATGCTGTCAACTATAAAATTAACAAAACCGGCTGGGCGCGGTGGCTCAAGCCTGTAATCCCAGCACTTTGGGAGGCCGAGACGGGTGAATCACGAGGTCAAGAGATCGAGACCAGCCTGGTCAACATGGTGAAACCCCGTCTCTACTAAAAACACAAAAAATTAGCTGGGCATTGTGGCACGTGCCTGTAATCCCAGCTACTCAGGAGGCTGAGGCAGGAGAATTGCCTGAACCCAGGAGGCGGAGGTTGCGGTGAGCCGAGATTGCGCCATTGCACTCCAGTCTGGGTAACAAGAGTGAAACTCCGTCTCAAAAAATAAATAAATAAAATAAAATTAATAAAACCACATCATAGAACTTTAGAAGATAGGAGGAAAAATATCACCTAAATCTACCAGGTTGCTATGGCGACTTTTACCATTTTATTACATTTCTTTCTAGTCTTTCCATATGCATATAGTTTCCATAGCTGTAACTGATGTATAAATAATATTGAATTGTACATTTTCACTTAATATTTTGTCATAATCAGTACCTGATAATATTACGGTTGTTGAAGAAGTGCTTGTTGAATGAATGCGCATTATATTGCAAGAATGTTTTCACTGTCTTTGTATAATTGTCCATGTGCTAGATATAGCCTAGTTTATTTCATCATTTCTCTATAATTGGATATTTTGTAGTTTTTAAAACAGTTTTTACTAAAACTGCAATTAACATTTTCATGAATGGCTCTCCACCTTCCAACCCCCACCAGCTGGAGTGGTAGAAGTAGGTATACTGATACTGAGTCAAGGGAGGTGAAAATTCTTGATCCATATTGTTTTTCAAAAGAATTATAGCAGTTTACAGTGTTGTTGACAACAAATGAGAGCAGTTCATGTTTATGAGTTTTTCTAGCTCATATCTGTGACTTCTGTTTTCTTTTTCTGGGTTTCTTTCAGATTCTTGTCTTTTACTTTTTGCGATGTCTTCTGGCTTTTGTGAGCTGTATTTGTGAACTTTACTTTTACAAGTGAGTATAAAAGTTTTGCTTCTAAAAGTGCTATGAGGAAACCCATTATTGCGTAGATTATCTCTTGTGATAGTCTAGGTGGTGATTGGAAATAGAAAACACTTTCCTTCTAGCCCCTGATACACTAATATACATATTTTTTTTTAATCTGGGAAAGAAAATGTCTTTTTTTCCATACTAAGTTTGATTGTATGCTGCTGATAGTGTATCTAAAACAATTACCCTTGTAAAATAGATAGAAATTCGTGAAAATTCAGAGAAGTAGATGTTGAAGACTACAAAAGTAGAAGTTTGTATATTATGGCACGTGTGTCACAGGGTTAAGCTTTTGTACAGGTTTCAAATTTAACTCTGTTTTGAGTATCTACTGAATCCTAAGAAGTGGTTTGGAAAACCTTTGAAAGATTCATTTTACTACAAAAAGGAACAGACTTTCTGGGGTCTGAAGGGATTTGTACTTGAAGATATTCCAGTCAGCAGAGGGTCATGTTGAACATTCTGCAGACAGAATTGTTTCAAGTCTGCAGCTGCGTGAGAAACTTTTACACAGTTGAGCCCGGCCTCCAGCCGGAGCTGTTGAACCACTTTCTTTTCTTTTTTTCTTTGTTTTTGAGACGCAGTCTAGCCCTGTCACCCAGGTTGGAGTGCAGTGGCATGATCCTGGCTTACTGCAAGTTCTGCCTCCCAGGTTCAAACAATTCTCCTGCCTCAGCCTCCCGAGTAGCTGGGATTACAGGCTCCTGCCACTATGCCCAGCTAATTTTTTTTTTTGTGTGTATTTTTAGTAGAGACGGGGTTTTACTGTGTTGGTCAGGCTGGTCTTGAACTCGTGACCTCGTGATCTGCCTGCAGCCTCCCAAAGTGCTGGGATTACAAGCATGAGCCACCACACCCAGCCTGAACCACTTTCTTCATAGCGGTGACACTGGAGGAGCCAGACATGGTACACTCGAGGGCCAGGCTGATTTGTGGGTTGGTGGGTTGTGGGTCAGCAGGGCCAGACCAAAAACTTCTTACTTTTATTTATTTTTCTCTTTTTATTTTTTTAATTTTTATTTTTCTTGCAATAGTTTTTGGGATACAGGTGGTTTTTGGTTACATGGTGAGTTCCTTAGTGGTGATTTCTGAGATTTTGATGCACCCATCACCTGTAGCTCCTGATATTAAATCTGAAGTGTGACCTACTGTTTGAAGCCAACAGTTGAAGAGGAACACTGTACTTCTAATTACCTTTTTCTTTCCTGAGGTTCATAAATACCATATCCTCATATCATTCATTTTAATTCTGTTAATAAGTATCTAACTGGTCTTTACTTGATAGGATTTAGTTGCAACCTATTTTCAGTCCTAAGATATAGGATCATGATTTGCCTCTGCCCTACAGCTTGGTTGATAAACTACTCCCAGCGTGGGACTCACTGCTCTTATTTGCACCCAATATATTGTCTTTCACAAAGTACCTATCAGTTGATTGAATATTAGTTGGAACTATTAAACATTTAAGTGTCCCGGTAATAAAAATAGCCACCTTTTTTTCATGATATCTAACAAATGTCTAATTTTAATAATGCTTTAGTAATATATTTAAAGGTATTTGGACTTAATGATCATTATTAAAAATCTTCCTACAGCTAAAAATGTCAGATTAAAACAAATCTTTGGCCTTGACCCTGAGTGGAGTGAAGGAAAAAAAATAAAGCCAGTGCTGCCTTTGAGGATTGTCACCATTACATATGGGTTTGGGCCTGAGTTCAAATCACCCGCATGGTCCTTCAAGCCCTAAGCTGAGAAGTTCGTTTGTTTATTTGAGATGGAGTCTTGCTCTGTCAGTCACCCAGGCTGAAGTGCAGTGGTGTGATCTCGGTGTAACCTCTGCCTCACGGATTCAAGCAGTTCTCCTGCCTCAGCCTCCCAAGTAGCTGGGATTAAAGGTGCGCACCACCACACCCAGCTAATATTTGTATTTTTAGTAGAGACAGGGTTTCACCATGTTAGCCAGGCTATTTTTGATCTTCTGACCTTGTGATTTGCCTGCCTCAGCCACCCAAAGTGCTGGGATTAGAGGCATAGCCACCACGCCCAGCCAAGAATTTATTTTAAATTATTCTGGGTTGATAGTGGCCCTGGCATCTGGCAAAACATTTCTCTAGAGATATAGACCCTTAATCTAAGTTGAAAATTACCGGAGATAAAGTTCTATTGAACAAGAAATTATAATAAAAATAAATCACAGAGCACAGAGGGAGCAAGACATTATTAGTGAGAATCAGCAAAAATAACAATCAATAGAACGTTGACCTAAAAAACTTCATATATTGGGAAATAGGAATATAAAATAGGTATATTTAGTATTTTCAAACAAGTAAAAGAACTGAAAATGTGAACAAGAAACAAGAGATGACCAGATAAATTAAAAAAAATCAGAACTTACAAGAATTATATAATATGTAATATTATATAATATCAATATTTATGTAAAATTGATATTTAAAACTCAGTAGATAGCTTAAACAGCAGATTAGACATTCTGATGAGTAAACTAGTAAATTGGAAGATTGATTTGAATAAATTACTCAAAATGCAGTACAGAGAGACCAAAAAAAAAGGTAATATAGAAGAGGTTAAGAAATGTGTGAACCACAGCCGAGCGCAGTGGCTCATGCCTGTAATCTTAGCACTTTGGGAGGCCGAAGCAAGTGGATCACTTGAGGTTGGGAGTTCAAAACCAACCTGGCCAACATGGTGAAAACTCATCTCTGCTAAAAATAAAAAAATTGCCTGGGCATGGTGGTGCACGCCTGTAGCCCCAGCTACTTGGGTAGTGGAGGCGCAAGAATCTCTTGAACTCAAAGAGTTGAAAGTTGCAGTGAGCCAAGATTGTGCTATTGCACTCCAGCCTGGGCAACAGAGCAAGACTCTGTCTCAGACACACACACACACACACACACACACAGAAATGTGTAAGAGCCAGAGTTTAAAGAACTGATATACATCTAAAAAGATGGTAGAAGATGATAGAATAGGGAGAGGCAATATTCAGGGAATTAATAGCTGAGAATTTTCCAGAATTGATGGGGAAAAAAGATGCTAAATCATAAATTTAGTAAGCCCAACATATCCCAAGCTAGATATGTAAAAACTTAGTGTAGTGAAACTGTGTAAAACAATAGGGACAAAGAAAAAGATTTTAAAAGTTGATGGAGAACTGATAAAATACCTACAAAGGAGTGTTAGGCAGTTACACTGACAGAAGACTTTTTAACCAGAAGACAAAAAAAGAGTATCTTCAAAGTGCTGAGAGAAAATAACTCTTATCCTAAAATTGTATACTAGGTTAAGCCATCTTTTAAGACCAAGAGCTAAATATAGACTTTTCAGTTAAAAAATAAATAAATAAAAGAGAAAGAAAAAAAAAGAAAGCCTATAATCCCAGTGCTTTGGGGGACTGAGGCAGGAGGATCATTGAGGATCGCTTGAGCCCAGGAATCAGTCTGGACAACATAGCAGGACCTCATCTCTACAAAAAATATTAGCTGGGTGTAATGGCACATGCCTGTAGTCACAGTTCCTCTTAGCCACAGGTGGCTAAGGCAGGAGGTTCTCTTGAACATTGCAGTTCAAGGATGCAGGGAGCTATGACCATGTCACTGTCTCCAGCCTGAGCCACAGAGAGTGAGACCCTGTCTCTGGGAAAAGAAAAAAAGAAAGGAAAAACAAAAAGGAAACCAACCAACCAAAAAAACAGAATTTATCATTAACAGATTCTCACAAATAACTTCTAAAAGAGATATTTAGGAAAAAGCAAAATTATTTTGGAAGAAGCTCTGAAATGCGGTAAGGAATCTGAGCTAGGAAATGATTAACACATGGATATGTCTGAACAAACGTTGACTAAGCGAAGCAGTAATAATGCCTAACTATGTTTAATTTGAGAGGTTAACACCTACAAGAAAGAAGTAGAATATATGTAGTTATTAAGTTTGAGAAGCACTGATTTAGATAATTACTTATTCACATTTTCGTTTATCTCTTAGCCCTTTTTTCTGACAACTACCATTTATTGAGCAACTGTATGCCAGGTATTCTCCTAAGCACTTTCCATGCATTGTCCTCACAGAAACCTTACAAAGTTTGTGTTATTTATTATCCTTATTTCATGCATAAGGAATCAAACAGATTATTCGACTAGAGTGAGATTCCACTGCTAGTAAGTGGCAGAGCCAGGATTCGAACGTCTGCCCACCTGAATCTGCCATCTCTTATTTTTCACAACATCATTCTATTTTCCACTTGATAGATACAATCTTAGCATGTACAGAATATGTTTTCTTTTAGGTAAGGAGCTTCTCTTCTGTGTCAGAAATAAGAATGTTTGGGTTTTGTATGCATGGTGAATTGCTAACAAACCTATCAAGGTAGTTTTGTGTTTGACTTTAGATCTTCCGTGTTACCTGTGGTGCATGTTTTTCTCCTTTGATTTGAATTCAGGCTAATAGTCTTTGCCTTTTTCCTAGGGCTGTGTGCAAGAAGTTTGGGTTGCATGTGAGCCGAATGATGCTAGCCTTCTTGGTTCTCAGCACTGGCATGTTTTGCTCATCATCAGGTAAGTAAAAGGGCAGATGAGGAATTGCAGGTTCACCAATAGTTTTTTGTTTTTCTGAGACAGAGTCTTGCTCTGTCACTAGGCTGGAGTGCGGTGGTACAATCTTGGCTCACTGCAGCCTCTGCCTCCCAGGTTCAAGCAGTTCTCCTGCCTCAGCCTCCCAAGTAGCTGGGACTACAGGCACGTACCACAGTGCCCAGCTGATTTTTTGTATTTTAGTAGAGATGGGGTTTCACCATGTTGGCCAGGATGGTCTTGATCTCCTGACCTCATGACCTGCCCACCTCGGCCTCCCAAAGTGCTGGGATTACAGGCGTGAGCCACCGCCCTCAGCCACCAATAGTTCATAGTTGCATGTAAAGGAAGCACTTGTCCAAATGTGGGTTATATTGTAGAACATGTCAATAATTTGCAGAGCACTGTAATCTACATTATGTTGATTGACCTTTGTAGCAATCCTACCATGTAAGACAAGTATTTTCTCACTTTTGCAGGTAAGGACATTGAAACATAGGTGAAATGATTTACTAAAAGTCAAAATTCATAAATGGCAGAGCTGATAGTCTCACCAGGATGCTTTCATTTTTGCATCAACCACCCACTTCCTTTCTTGACCAGTAGGGGAAAGAAAGTAATTCTTTTATTTTGTTTGTAATTTGTACATAAAGACCTTGTTGTTGTTGTTGATGGTTCTGTTTCTATTGATGATACATTATTTGAGATGTATTCTATATGCATCTTCCATTGGGCTTTTTAAAAGATAAGCTTCTGGAAATTTAGAATAAAAACCTTACTCTAGAGCATTGACTTTCAAACTGTGCTGCCATTGAACATTTGTGTTGTATAAGCTGAGTCAAGGTGCCCCACTGCCAAATGGTAGTCTGTTCCCAGTTCTCCAGAAAAATGGAGTTACTGGATATAATTGTCTCAATTTTAGTTTCTGCTTGAGTGTACCAGGATCTAGCATATACACTTGAGTATGCACAAAAACATAGTATGTGGCACCAAATTATGTACTTACTTTTCCCTTATTGAATATATCAAAATTGATGATGTTCTGCAGAGATGTCAGCTGTACTCCAGAATGACTTTGAGAGCCTGTCCTAAATGCATCTGGCTCTACCCTCAGATTTCTCTCTCCCTTTGTCCTCACCCTGACAGCTGGAACTGACAGCTTTGGATGGCGGCATCACTCTTATTTGATGTTTATTGGCAAAGGGTGTACCTCACATGTTTTTTTAAGTTGCTTTGCTACTTCTTTTTTTAAACCTTTTCAAGTGGCAAGGTCTTGCTCTTTACCTAAGCAGGCTGCAGTGCAGTGCACCATCATAGCCCACTGCAGCCTTGAATTCCTGGGCGCTAGCAGTCTTTCCACTACAACCTCCCAAGTAGCTAGGACTATAGCATGCACCACCATGCCCAGCTAGTTTTTAAATTTTTGCAGAGATGGAGTCTCACTGTGTTGCCCAGGCTGGTCTCAAACTCTTAGCCTCAAGCAGTCCTCCCACCTTGGCCTCTCAGAGTACTGAGATTAAAGACATGAGCCACGGTGCCTGGTCTGCTGCTCCTACAATTGATCTTTATATATAGAAAATTCCTGAGGGTATCTTTGTTTTTGTAAACTAATTTGAGACACAGGTAAGTTGAAAGCATCTTTTCATACAGAGCCTCTGAACCCTTTGCTGAGTTTAAAAAAGTCTCACTGCCTATTAATTGTGGTTGTTTTTGTAGCTGATACTGATTTTTCTTCCCTACTGAATCAGACTTTCTGCAGCAAAGAGGCAGATCTGCACTTCTGTTCAGAGTTACCAGAAACACTTTAATCAATTGTTATCCTTGCAAAGACCCTGTACTCTCTCCTCTGCTGTATACAACAAGGTTGAGGTAGATAGAACTAATTAGGGGGCTATCTAAAGGCTGTACTATCTGTGTCAGCAGATGGAGGATGCAAAGCATTGCCGCCATACAATAGCTGGCCCTTGAGGAGGCTTAGAATTCCTGGGGCGAGAGGTTAGGACCAGGACAGTCCCAGAAGACCAATGGCAGATAAGCTTCTTCGGAAGTAAATTGTCAGCAGTGGCTCTAAGTCTTTTAAAGCATATTCCTTGCCTGGAAATATAATCCTGGGGTATTCCTAGAGTACCTGGAATTCTGTAAGTTTTTTATTTGAGGTATAGGCTGGGAGAGGAATTACATGGTTAGAATCGTATAATTGGGTTAGTACCTAAAAAAAGAAGAGTGGGAGGCCAGGCACAGTGACTCATGCCTGTAATCCCGGCACTTTGGGAGGCCAAGGTGGGCGGATCATGAGGTCAGGAGATCAAGACCATCCTGGTCAACATGGTGAAACTCTGTGTCTACTAACAATACAAAATTTAGCTGGGAGTAGTGGTGGACACCTGTAATCCCAGCTACTTAGGAGGCTGAGGCAGGAGAATCTTTAGAACCAAGGAGTCAGAGGTTGCAGTGAGCCTAAATCGCGCCACTGCGCTCCAACAGAGTGAGACTCCATCCCAAAAACAAAGAAAGAAAACAGGAGTGAGAAATTAAGAATCACTGAACTTCATTTTTTTTTAAAGGAATATCACTGTGCTGTCCTTTCTAATACAGCATTTCCCAAAATATGTTCCTGGTTATTGACATTTTGCCATGTAGATATTTACACTGCAAAATTTACATTTAATCAATTTTTAATTGATACCTAATTAACCTTGAGTTCTTGTTCTTCTGCCTTTTTTCACTTCTTCACTCTTGCAGCATTCCTTCCTAGTAGCTTCTGTATGTACACTACGTTGATAGCCATGACTGGATGGTATATGGACAAGACTTCCATTGCTGTGCTGGGAGTAGCAGCTGGGGCCATCTTGGGCTGGCCATTCAGTGCAGCTCTTGGGTAAGAAACAAACAGTTCTTCTCCTACATATCTCTGGGCAAATAGTAAATGTTAATGTTGGATTAGCTCCATATTGTCTGCATAGAATCTAAAGTTAATCAATTGGGCTTTCAAAGATTCTGGGAAATGGAAGAATATGTCCCTTAGCACTTACTATTATGATTAATTCTAATAAGAATAGTGAGGAGCCGTGGAGGCTCAGGCCAGTTGTCCTGGTGCTTGAGGAGGCGAGGCTATGCATTCAAGGCCAACCTGGGCAACATAAGAATCTCTCATTCATTTAAAAAAAAAAAAAAAAAAAGAATAGTGACCAGTGAGCATTTGCTATGTGTTAGGCACAGTGAAGCCCTTTGTAAACCTTATCTTGAAACCTTGCAACAACTCTGCAGGAGAAATACAATTTAGTGCTTTATAAACGAGAAAATAGACTCCGAGAGTTTGAAGAATTTACCTTTAAGATTAGGTTTGCTTTTGAATCCAGGCCTTTTTGACTCTACAGCTGATGTTTTCTCCACATGGCACCACCCTGTTCTGTGCAGTTTTTCATGCACTCAGCTTTGAAATCTGAATTTCCTCCAGTATTCCTTCTTTCTTGTCCCCAGCATTTTTCCCCCAAGTTCTTTCTATACTCTTTGTTCCCACTACTTCTGTTCTAGTGTGTGCTGCCTTAATTTCTTACCTGTACCATGGGTAATTTAGAAAAATATTTTAATCTGATGTTAAGGTTATTTTAGTAGTATATCTTTATTATAACAAAAAGTAAGTACCAGATTGTATGAGGTTAAAATAATTTCTTTCTTTTTTTTTTGATACGGGATTTCACCATGTTGGCCAGGATGGTCTCGATCTCCTGACCTTGTGATCTGCCCACCTCGGCCTCCCAAAGTGCTGGGATTACAGGCATGAGCCACCACACCCAGCCAAGGTTAAAATAATTTCTAATTTTCTTCTCCCCTAGCTCAATCTTCAGATAGTCACTGCTAATATTTTGGTGTATATCTTTCCAGAAAAATTATCCTGTGTGTATTAATATATGTATACATATCTATCTACATTCTTAAAACAAATGAGAATTATTCTGTCTATATATGTCTTATACATATTAATAAATTTATATCATTGTTTGTATTGGTTGTATAGCATTCCATGATTTACGTTATTATTGCTTATTGGTAGACATTTGCTTTTTGTTTTTTTACTGTTATACTCACTGCTTCAGTGAACTTTTTTTTTGAGACAGAGTCTTGCTCTGTTGCCCAGGCTGAAGTGCAGTGGCATGATCTTGGCTCACTGCAACCTCTGCCTCCTGGGTTTAAGCAGTTCTCCTGCCTCAGCCTCCTGAGTAGCTGGGATTATAAGCGCATGCCACCATGTGCAGCTAATTTTTGTATTTTCAGTAGAGACAGGGTTTCACCATGTTGGTCAGTCTGGTCTTGAACTCCTGACCTCGTGATCTGTGTCGGCCTCCCCAAATGCTGGGATTACAGGAGTGAGCCACCACACCCTATAGGGTAAATTTTTATAAGGGAAGTTATTAAAAGAATAGGCCATTTTTAATTTTCTTTATTGCCTTTTAAAGGCTCACCTCCATTTCTTTCTTCTATTCTATTTTGCATATTCTCAAATTTTCATATTCCTCAGAATTTTATCTTAGGCCCTATTCTGTACTTTCTGCTATCTCTCAATCATCTTGGTGATTCCCATCTCTTTTTTTTTCCATCTCTCCAACATGAAGGTGATTCCATATCTTAATGTCTAGTCCGGTTACCTCTCTTCAGCTTCATTTATATATTCCCAGCTGCTTATTAGATAGCTGCTGAATTCCTTATCTTCTCTCCATAGCTGTTCCTTTACTTGTGTTTCTATCCCAGTAAATAGTACTACTATCTCCCCATTACTGACCCAGAAACCTGAAAATTGTTTGTGACTCTTCTCTCTTTCCCACCCCTGTTAATTTATTGTGTCTCCTAAATATCTTTTGAACCTGATGACTTTTCTTCATTCCCCTCTGCTCCTGGATCACTACACAGCCTCCTCAGTGATCTCCTCTTCTCTAGTCTTGACTCCTGTAAATCTGCTCTCCAAACTCAAACTAGAGTTATGTTACTCAAATGCAGATACAGTTGTATCACCTCCCTGTTTCAAACTCTATGGTAGCTTCTTCATTGCTTTATGTCACAGAGGTTGGCTGACTGGCCTGTTTTTATACAGCCCAATCATTAGTTTTTACATTTTTAAAGGGTGTTTTAAAAACAACAAACACACACACACAGAGAGAGGACGATGTAACAGATAATATATGTGGCCTGCAAAGCCTAAAATGTATACTGTCAGGTCCTATAAATAAAAAGTTTGCCAACCCCCGCCCTATGGTATCCACACTCAAAGATTCAACACACAAAGCCCTGCACGATCTTGCTTTTACTTCTCCAGCTTCTTTTCAACAGTTCTTTCATTCTCTATTCCATCTACATTGAATTTCACTGAGTTCCTCAAATACCTTGAGTGACATATTTCGATGAGTCTGCCTTTGCTGAGATAAGTGATTTTAGGATCACAGTCAGTCAGTTAGCAATATACCATCATTCATTGAATGCTTTGTGCTAGGTTCTGCTGATATTTTAGAAATTAGACAGTCATGGTTCCTGCCCTTTTGGAACTTTACAGTTTAGTAGAAAGACAGATATTGGACAAGTAATTAAAAATATGACTTATCAAAGGAGAAATACAGTTGCTATAGAAATGGAAGTAGTTGGGGTGACCAAAAAAACATAAAACATTAATGCAGAATTTACATAACAACATGGAGGTTCAAATCACAGAAGAGATACTGTGACAGCACATGACATTGCTAAATAAATGATAGATATAATGATGCCGTATAAATTCAAAGATAGGGCCGGACGTGGTGGCTCACGCCTGTAAACCCAGCACTTTGGGAGGCTGAGGCAGGTGGATCACCTGTCAGGAGTTTGAGAGCATGGTGAAACCCTATCTCTACTAAAAATACAAAAAAATTAGCAGGGTGTGGTGGTACGCACCTGTAGTCCCAGCTACTTGGGAGGCTGAGGGCAGAGAATTGCTTGAACCCAGGAGGTGGAGGCTGCAGTGAGCCGAGATCACACCACTGCACTCCAGCCTGGGCAACAGAGCAAGACTCTGTCTCAAAAAAAAGAAAAAAAAAATTATCCGGGGCTGATGGCGTGTGTCTGTAGTCCCAGCTACTCAGGAGGCTGAGGCAGGAGAATGCTGGAACCTGGGAGATGAAGGTGGCAGTGAGCCAAGATCACACAACTGCACTCCAGCCTGGGCAACAGAGTTATACCCTGTCTCAAAAAAAAAAGCCTGTAATAACGTTATATTGCTAAAATCCTGGAAATCCTGGAAATCATGGAGGGGAGAAGTCAGTACTTACTTATCTGGTAGGGTGGGTGTAAGACAGTAGGACACATATACTTAATAATATATTTAGATGTCTGTTACACATAAATGTGTATAAAATGGAATTCATTCCAGCAGCTCAGTAATTATATTTCTTGTGCACCCATGGGATACAGAGTACTCTGATGGGTCCTGTGAGGACATCCTCTCGCATACCAGGTTTCTTCCCTCGCTATAACTGGCAGATTCATTTTATTCTCAGTTCAGCATGAGGTATGTGTGAATCTGACCTGTCAGTATTTATTTAACTCCCCACTCTCTGTTTCTGTGTTAAATAGTTTACCCATTGCCTTTGATTTGATGGTCATGAAACACAGGTGGAAGAGTTTCTTTTATTGGTCGCTGGTGGCCCTCATACTCTTTCTGGTGAGTTTTCTTTCTTCTTGTTTTGTCCTAAAGTTGTAATGAAAGCAACTTTGATGTGAAAAAAGGAACATTGGGAGTTTATTCTGTTTTTCATTCTCAGGTATATCCTGTTAGCATTTTGAGAATGTTTCCAGAGCAAAACTATTTTCTGCTCTGTTGTAGGTGCCTGTGGTGGTCATTGACAGCTACTATTACGGGAAGTTGGTGATCACACCACTCAACATTGTTTTGTATAATGTCTTCACTCCTCATGGACCTGATCTTTATGGTAAGGCTTTGTGAAATTTGCGGAAGTGTTAGGAGATAGCTGAATTTGCCTGAACTTAACATTTTTAAGGACCGGGCGCGGTGGCTCAAGCCTGTAATCCCAGCACTTTTGGAGGCCGAGGCGGGTGGATCACGAGGTCAAGAGATTGAGACCATCGTGGTCAACATGGTGAAACCCCGCCTCTACTAAAAATACAAAACATTAGCTGGGCACGGTGGCGCGTGCCTGTAATCCCAGCTACTCGGGAGGCTGAGGCAGGAGAATTGCCTGAACCCAGGAGGCGGAGGTTGCGGTGAGCCGAGATCGAGCCATTGCACTCCAGCCTGGGTAACAAAAGCGAAACTCCGTCTCAAAAAGAAAAAAAAAAAAATTTTAATTCAGTTCCCTAATTTCATTAGATACAGCATTTCTTTGCTGATATTATCTTTTCCTGAGTACAGCACAATGATGACACATAGCCACTCAAATATATCCCCTTGATTAATGTGATTTTCCAATACTGGCTTTTTATTTTTCCTGTTTGTTATTTTTACTTTCAGAGTTTTGAGGACTCTGGGCATGCCATGGCTTTTGATACTGCTTTTTTAAAAATTAAAAGTTACATTTTTCTCTTCTTAATAAAAAACCAGTATGATAGGAGAAGAAAATAAAATCATTAATACAATCATCTCCATATAACTCCTGGGAGTTAGTAATCTCCATTACTAACATCTGAGAATATACTTCAGACTTTTTTTTTAGATGGAGTTTGACTCTTGAGTACAATGGCATTATCTTGGCTCACTGTAACCTCTGCCTCCCGGGTTCAAGCAATTTTCCTGCCTCAGTCTCCCTAGTAGCTGGGATTACAGGCACCTGTCACTATGTCTGGCTAATTTTTTTGTGTTTTTAGTAGAGATGGGGTTTGCTACATTGGCCAGGCTGGTCTTGAACTCCTGACCTCAGGTGATCCACCCACCTCAGCCTCCCAAAGTGCTGGCATTGCAGGCATGAGCCACCACGCCCGGCCAAGACATTTTCTATATATACACACACTTGATGTTACTTTTTCTCTTCCAGATTTGCTTTACTTCAATTCAAGCATAAGGGAGAAAGTTTGGAAAATCTCTAGACAAAGTTACAGCAAATGGGGCTGGGCTGGAGTCAGCATGGGAGGATGGGGAAGCTGACCAGCTTAGGGTTAAGAGAAAAAATGGAATGCCTTTAATCTGGGGATGCAGTCTTCAGTTTACCCATCTCCACTCCTTCCCCGATGCCTTTCACTCCACCAGCTAGTTTCATTCAGCCCCTGAAGGCATTTGAGTTAGTTACAGTTATGGGGCGGGGATGAACTAGAGATCTTTTGGATCAAATCAGCCGAATCAGCAAACATTTCACAAGAGAGGCAGTTTTTTCATGAAAATAATTATAGTCTCTTCTGCCTTAATCTTTTGAGGTCTTGGAGCATGCTGTATAAGTGCTTGCTTTGGGGTTCTGCTATGAAGCAGGTTAAGATTGTGTCTAACTGTACCTCTGTCAATTTAAGTCTTATCACTAGCCATGTCCATCAGTCGCCTGTGCCATTTTGCCAATAGAACTAACAGATTGAATAGGGAGATTTAAAGTAAGAATATAAATGAGACTTAATTGAGCCTCCTGGAATTTTGGGAATATTATTCTAAATGGCAAGTAATAGGTTAAAATAAACAGTGCTTTGTTCAGTGGATTGAATTCACAAACTGCACAGTTAGAGAATAATTTACTCCTTTGTGGCTGTAAGATCCCCAAGAATGTGAGAAAAAGCCCCAGTTTAAGCTTGTGCCTCTAGATGTCTCCCTTTAGCTAGGGAGAGTTTGCGTGTTTGTGATTGCCTCATGTTTTAGTTTACTTGTAAAATTTTATTCTATTTCACAAGACAATCAAAGGTCTTAGATCTAGATTGCACAGTAGAAATAGTTTCACAGAGAGCCTATTGGAAACACAATATCCACTCTGTGAATAAATTGAGTTAATTTGTGTTAATCTTGAAAAGTTGACTTCTCTACTTATAGTGGGTTATTGATATTCTAACCCCTTATTTATAAAACTTTTTGTGAGACACTTATAAAAGTGACAGATTGTTTATGTCCCTCTAGATTGATGAATCTCTCTCTTTTTTTTTTTTTTGAGATGGAGTTTCGCTCCTGTTGTCCAGACTGTAATGTAGTGGCATGACCTCGGCTCACTGCAACCTTTCCTCCCAGTTCAAGCAATTTTCTTGCCTCAACCTCCTGAGTAGCTGGAATTACAGGCACTCACCACCACACCCACCTAATTTTTGTATTTTTAGTAGCAATAGGGTTTTGCCATGTTGGCCTGGCTGGTCCCCAACTCCTGACGTCAGGTAATCTGCCAGTCTCAGCCTCCCAAAGTGCTGGGATTACAGGCGTGAGCTACTGTGCCCAGAGATGAAGCTCTTAAATCTAGGAATAACCAGGATAATCAGGCTGGTAGGGAAAGCAGGAAAGAAGGAATAAATTCTGATTGAAGTTTACAATGCTAGTTTAATAGTGGGTCAATCAGGAACCCCTGTAGTAGGTTTTGAGATCCAGTAAAGCAGTGACCAGTCTTTCCTCGGACATTGGCATCTGCTGTTCATTTCAGTCAGCGTTTTACTGGGAAACAGTCCTAGGGACTTCTTTCTGCCTACATTAATGAACCTGGGGTAGCTTCAGTTCAGACTTTGCTGTTTGGGATGTACAAAAGCTGATCACTTTCCCAGTGGTAGCAAAAACTTTGTTGAAACAGAGAGAATTGGCATACCAACCATGAACAGGACCGATACAGTGCTGCCATCAGCCAGACTCAGGGAGTTATTCCTTCATATCAGGATTTTTGTGCTCTTACTTCATCTTTGAATTTGGTTTAAAAAAAAAATTGTCTGATTTCCATTCTTTTTGTTTTTTGGGGGTTTTTTTGAGACAGGGTCTTGCCCTGTCACCCAGGCTGGAGTGCAGTGGCATGATCTTGGCTCACCGCAACCTCTGCCTCCCAGATTCAAACTATTCTCCTGCTTCAGCCTCCTGAGTAGCTGGGATTGTAGGCACCCACCACCACGCCTGGCTAATTTTTGTATTTTTAGTAGAGACAGGGATTTCACCATGTTGGCCAGGCTGGCCTCAAACTCCTAACCTCACATGATCTGCCTGCCTCAGCCTCCCAGAGTGCTGGGATTACAGGCATGAGCCACCATGCCCGGCCTAATTTCCATTCTTTTAGAGTGTTAACTCCTTTTTGGTTTAGGAGGCCCACAGAGAGAATACTTCTTCCATCTTAGGAGTAGGAATTCCTTATGTATTCCAGACTTACAGTAAAGATCTGTCAAGAATAAATGAATGGATGAATTCTGGAGTACCCATTGGGTTACATTAGTGTGTCATTTACTATTGTATCCTAGAATCACTTTAGTTAGACCTGTTATGGTGCTAGCTTGAGATTTTCATGATACCAAGTAAAAATAATATAACAGATATAAATAAAATACTTTTTATTTTTTTGAGACAATCTTGCTCTGTCACCCAGGCTGGAGTGCAGCGGCACAATCTCAGCTCCCAGGTTCAAGTGATTCTTCTTGCTCTGCCTCTGCCTCCTGAGTAGCTGGGACTACAGGCGCATGCCACCATGCCTAGATAATTTTTTGGGTTTTTAGTGGAGACAGGTTTCACCATGTTAGCCAGGATAGTCTCGATCTCCTGACCTTGTGATCCGCCCATCTTGGCCTCCCAAAGTGCCAGGATTACAGGCATGAGTCACCATGCCCAGCCCAATAAAATACTTTTTAAATCAAAAAGTACTTTATGATTAATCACCTAATTTTATTATAATTGGTGAGTCCATCCAGTAAATATAAAAGACCTGTCTTTTTTTTTTTTTTTTTTTTTTGAGACGAAGTTTCACTCTTGTTACCCAGGCTGGAGTGCAATGGCTCATTCTCGGCTCACCGCAACCTCCACCTCCTGGGTTCAAACGATTCTCCTGTCTCAGCCTCCCAAGTAACTGGGATTACAGGCATGCACCACCATGCCCGGCTAATTTTTTTTGTATTTAGTAGAGACAGGGTTTTACCATGTTGGCCAGGATGGTCTCGATCTCTTGACCTCGTGATCCACCTGCCTCAGCCTCCCAAAGTGCTGGGATTACAGGCATGAACCACCGCGCCCAGCCAAGACCTGTCTTTTACTAGATGTTTTGATGCAGTAAAATTGTCAGACAGTGAGATAGCATGCTTTTTATATTGGAAATGTTAGCTCTTTCACTTTATTACATGTTGGGCACTATTTGGCATTATTTTAGCATTTTACTAGAGTCTCCTGCTCCAGGTGCCTCATTAGCTATGTTAGACACACAGTTTCTTATCTGAAAATTAAAAATGTATTGTGCTGTATATACCATAAAATACTATGCAGCCATAAAAAAGGAACAAGATAATGTCCTTTGCAGGGACATGGATGGAGCTGAAAGCCAAACTAAAACAGGAACAGAAAACCAAAGACTGCATGTTCTCACTTATAAGTGGGAGCTGAACGATGAGAACACGTAGACACAGAGAGGGGAACAGCACACACTGGGACCTGTGGAGGAGGACAGAAGGAGGGAGAACATCAGGAAAAATAGCTAATGCATGCGGGCTTAATACCTAGGTGATAGGTTGATAGGTGTAGCAAACCACCATGGCACATGTTTACGTATGTAACAAACCTGCACATCCTACGTATGTACCCTGGAACTTAAAATAAAAAAATTTTAAAACGGGAATAAAATGCATTGTGCTTATAGTTTTTGTATACATCTCTTAGTGCTATTTCTCATATATAAGAATATACTAACCCTATTAATATTTCTTGAATGGATGGACAAATGGACTTCAGTTAAAGAAACACTGAAGGCCTGGCGCAGTGGCTCACTCCTGTAACCCAACACTTTGGGAGGATGAGGTGGGTGGATCACTTGAGGCTAGGAATTTGAGACCAGTCTGGCCAACGTGGTGAAACCCTGTCTCTACTAAAAATACAAAAATTAGCTGGGCATGGTGGTGCACACCTGCAATCTCAGCTACTCGGGAGGCTGGGGCACAAGAATTGCTTGATCCCAGGAGGCAGAGGTTGTAGTAAGCCAAAATTGTACCACTGCACACCAGCCTAGGCAACAGAGTGAGACCCTGTCTCAAAAAAAACATTAAATACATTGCTCTTGAGCATTAATCTTGTGTCCTCATAGTACTTACGGTCTCATTAGGCTGCAGACACACAAATAGATAATTGCAGGAAAGTGTCTTATGTGCTATAGGGGAATGATAGGGAATCATAGGAGCAAGTCCCTCTGGTAGTGTCAAAAAAGGGGTGGTTCTTGAGCTGAGCCTGGAAGGAAGAGTAGGAGTTTCCTTAGTAAATGCTAGGGGCTGCATTTCTGACAAATGGAATGTCAAATATAAAAACTTATTTTTATAGCATTGGTTGAATTTTAGGTAGAAACTATTCAGACATGAGCAAGATCATTTCAATCATTCCATCACAGTTACGGTCATATAAATATTTGCCGTCTCTATTGTTCCTGGTTTTCTTTTCTTTTTTCTTTCTTTTTTTTTTTAGATGGAGTTTCACTCTTGTTGCCCAGGCTGGAATGCAATTGAGCGATGTTGGCTCACTGCAACTTCCACCTCCCAGGTTCAAGCGATTCTCCTGCCTTAACCTCCTGAGTGGCTAGGATTATATGCATGCACCACCACGCCTGGCTAATTTTGTGTTTTTAGTAAAGACGGAGTCTCTCCATGTTGGTCAGGTCACTCTGGTCATGAACCGTTCCTGGTTTTCAAAGGGTCCTTTCTATACTTTCCTGGCTAGGTAGCATGTAGTAGTGACACGCTCCAGACTTGAGCTGACACCTTTCGTTTGAAGCCAGGGGAAATAATGGGAGTAAACTGTCAAAGATGTTAATTACAATATCTTCTGATTATTCAAGGCCTACTATGCCAGAAGTTATTCACATACCATCTTCTTTCCATCATAAAAACTCTGTGAGACAGGCATTATTTATCTTTATTCCTGGATAAAGAAACTGAGGTTGAGATGATGAGGAATTTGCCACATAGTTAAATAAGTAGCAAAAGTGGGATAAGAGTCTAGTGTTGTCTGACTTCAACGCCTGTATTTCCACTGAAAACAAGACCCTTAGCAAAACCCTGGAGTTTGGTTACTGAGACATTTCCAGAGAAGAAACTTGCAAAAACAAAGAACGTGAATTAAGGGTGGTAGAAGATAGGATCCAATCTGTAGGATAGGTGGAAAGTTACGCCTGTGAAGGTTTGTGCATTTTGGGTTGGAGTGATCAGGAGCCCCAGCGAGCTTGGGTGGCAGAGTGGCATGCACACTGGCAAGTTCTCCTTATCATGGGAGTGCTGTACCAGCCCCTTTTGTTGAAGAAAGAAGGAGTGTTTGGGTAAGGTAAAGAAGACTTGGCACTGCGAAACTTTAGAATAGGGTAGACTGGAATTGTCCAGTCTTAGGCAAAATGTCTCTGTGGAGTCAGAGATCAAGAGGTGAAATTTAATGTTGCAGAAAAGAAAGTGATTGGTCTTGGCACTGATTTTGCCTCTCATAACGTTTCAAGTTCTCAGATGTTGATGTTGACAAGTATTTTTGTCTGGTGAGTGCAGAGTGGTGCTCTCTGATGAAGAGTTCACAGGCCTGGAGAAGGCATGGGAGGACACTTAGAGGAAACGCTCTTCCCTCAAAAAGAACAGTCTGCTCAGGATGCCACTTTGCAGCTTAGGACAGGATCCCATTGCCTGTTTATGTGTTTTATCAACATCTGTCTGATCACTAGATGGAAAGCTTTGGAAGATAAAGGCAAATGCCCTCTGTTAGGAGGCCCACAGGTTTCCATAATTGCAGTGGCAAGGGAGGAAGCCCCAGTGGGGTCTTACCAGTCCTGCTTAGAATTCACTGCCAGCCAGAACTGTTCTAGAGCCTTTGCTCTTTTATTAATCATTTCTGTTGAACTTTAGTGGCTTTTCCCTCTCGGTGGTACAAATTTGACATTTATAAGGATGATTTAATATGATTTAGTGCCTACAGTTCTGTAAAATTGTAATTCTGGAAAGTAGTTCTCCTTCATGCAATCTATGGAGCAGTAAACATCCCTTCTGTAGCTTTGTTGAAAGCTCCCCTTAGCTCATTTGACTGAGAGGACTTAAGGCACTTTCCATAAAGAGGAAGATTGGTGAGTCACTCCCTGCAGAGACCCTGCTGCCAGCTTTCCTTCACCTAAACATCTTGCACCAGTTTAGCGCTTAGCTTGTCATTCTGACGTGTTTTTTTGCATAGTTCAGCTCTAATGTTTTCTGAGCAACAGCATTGAATATCTCCCTGGAAAGAGATAAAAAAGTTTATACCCTTTTCTTTCCTAAGGCAAGATGTGTCATCAAGCAGGGCAGGACTCTGGTTAATAGAAGTCACTCTTTTTGTTCCCTTTTGCCCTTGTTTTTAAGACTGTTGACACTTGAACCTTCTTTGCTGTTGGCTTATCCCCCAATTTTTGCTCCATCTTTCAGGGAAATAACAGTCTATTATGAAATGTTCATGACCTGTTTGGAAACTTGATTTATGAGCTCTCAACACATAAAAATGATTGTGTTTACCAACTTTATACCTTTGTTTCCTCATCTCAGAGTACAGTATACCTAGTTAAAAAGATAGCTCTAACAGGAGGGTGTGTAAATTGTGTTAGAGACAGATATTTGCTGGAAAATAAAGTGCTTTCCTGAAAAAACAATTTATATTTGCAAATATCAGAGAGACAAGTAGCTTTTTCCCTATTGGTGCCTAACATCTGTAATAGATAACATAAAGGATAACCCCTTTCTCTCTGGTCACTCTGTGGTTTTTCTTCACACACTCAGATTTCCAGAATCCTGTTAAGAAAAAGGCGAGTCAGAGGTTGCTAGCATTGCCTCCACACTGGTGGTCAGGAGAGGATTGTGCAAAAGCTTACCTCTCTGGAAACTGGATCCTAAAGGACTTAATTTAAAAAACATGTTGTGAAATTTTAATTGAGATTCAGAGAAGACATTTTTGATTTGAGAATGAAACCATCCATTAATTTTCTGTAACCCAAATGCATATTTGTTAAGAATACAAGATTAGGCCGGGCGCGATGGCTCAGGCCTGTAATCCCAGCACTTTGGGAGGCCGAGGCAGGTGGATCACAAGGTCAGGAGATCGAGACCATCCTGGTCAACATGATGAAACCCCGCCTCTACTAAAAATACAAAAAATTAGCTGGGCATGGTGGTGCGTGCCTGTAATCCCAGCTACTCCGGAGGCTGAGGCAGGAGAATTGCCTGAACCCAGGAGGCGGAGGTTGCGGTGAGCCGAGATTGCGCCATTGCACTCCAGCCTGGGTAACAAGAGCAAAACTCCGTCTCAAAAAAAAAAAAAAAGAATACAAGATTAAAGTGTCTGTAATGAACTGGGCCTGGAATAGGACCTCTGTTCATGAATAATTCCATCATTGTATTTAGACAGGAAGGAATAAGCTCCCCCAAAGGTGACACACAGTTGAACTTGAACTCTTCCTTAGTGTAACCTCCCTCCCTCTTACTTCTCCCCTAAATGTTTCTAGCATTATGGGTTTGGTTTCTAATCTTATTTTGCTGTGCAAGCTGCAAAAATGTCAGGTTTTTCTGACTATTCCTCTGCCTTCTGATTACCCTTTTAAGCAATGCTGATTGCAGGAAATTGCTATGGTGCAAGGCGGGTGTCACAACACACAGTGATTAAAACCCGAATGTGTCATTCACTGCTTGATTGAAGTAATCATACAGAGGGAAAAAGCAGATGAAAAACCTGCTAAATGTGCAGAGGGGGCTGTTTCTCATCATTTGGGTGTAAGGATTTTGAGTTAAAGAATCAAAACTGGTGTAAGAGAGGCTTATGTTTTTAGTGATTTTGCTTCATTCTGAATCCTCAAAGCTTCTGAGCAAGACCCGGGTCTCTGAACATGATCTAAGAAAAACAAGTTGTTGCTTTTTACCAAACACATGTTGCCCAATATATACGACTATAAAATAGTGGTTGAGCATATCAAGGGGAAAGTTCCTAGAATGTAAGTAGAACAAGCAGGTGAAAACACAATGGGAGAGGCCTGAATAGCTCAAACTTAAGTTCATTATTTTTATTTGAGACAGGGTCTCGCTGTCACCCAGGCTGGAGTGCAGTGGCACAACCACAGCTCTCTGCAGCCTTAACCTCCTGGGCTCAAGCAATCCTCCCATCTCAGCCTCCCCAGTAGCTGGGATTACAGGCCTGAGCCACCACACCCAGCCACAAACTAAGTTCTCTTATCACTCTTTCCTTTGGTCTACACAATGTTGAGAGTAGTTAAATTGAAATGGCAGTTTTATTATTTTAGCCCTATGTGGCTCTAAAGCTATTTAAATTATTTGGTAGTTCTCAAAAGTATTAGTTCCAGTTGTACGTAGCAATTTGGGCTAGATATAGTGGTCAGTATAGAAAATAGAGCTAACTATCTGAAACTTGATTTCTACCTAAATCCTCATAACCAGTCCCATTCTCTTCCATCTTCTGCTTTGTGCTTCTTTTGTGTGGCTTAGTATGGGAAGAGGATTCTCGTTCCCATGAGGCATAGGATCATCAGTGTTACTTGAACAAAGGACATTATATGTCAGGCACCATAATAGGTGTTAAGGGCATCCACTAATGATTTCTTACTTTTATGTCTCCCTCAGGTACAGAACCCTGGTATTTCTATTTAATTAATGGATTTCTGAATTTCAATGTAGCCTTTGCTTTGGCTCTTCTAGTCCTACCACTGACTTCTCTTATGGAATACCTGCTGCAGAGATTTCACGGTGAGTGGCATAAGAGATGGTAGGTTTTTTGGGGGGGGAAAGAGCAAGTAATGATGTATACCAAGAACTGAAGGAAAATCCTACTTTATTTTCTACATTCTCCCTATGGAAATGGTTGGCTTACTGGATTTTCAGTCTGTATTTGTTGATCAGTTGAACCTTTGTGAAGATTTGGTTAATTGTGACAAATTAACATAACAGGAGGAAGAGCTTTATTATCACTTTAAGTGAGGAAGTGAATATAATTTATACAATCACCCAGGGAGGTAATTATAAAATCTCAGAAAGAGGCTGGGCACCGTGGTTCACTCCCGTAATCCCGGCACTTTGGGAGTCCAAGGTGGGCAGCTCATTTGAGATCAGGAGATTGAGACTATGCTGACTAACACGGTGAAACTGCCTCTACTAAAAATACAAAACATTAGCAGGGCATGGTGGCACATTCCTGTAGTCCCAGCTACTCAGGAGGCTGAGGCAGGAGAATCACTTGAACCCAGGAGGCATAGGTTGCAGTGAGCCAAGATTGTGCCACTGCACTCCAGCCTGAGTGACAGAGCAAGACTCCGTCTCAAAAATTAAAAAATAACAAAAAAGAAAAACCTCAGAGGAGAACAAGCCTGTTTGTGTTTTCTATCTTTTAAAGAAGTGTGTATTAACCTGGTAGGTTGATTAAGGTTATTCACGGGATAGTATTTCAAACAAAAGTATAAAATCTGAACCATCCCAGGATTTCCCCAAGTTCGATACTGAAGTAAGAGAAGCTTTGGACTTCCTCAGAAGCATGATGCTTCTCTTTGTTCCCTTTTGTTTCTGTGTCTGCCTTATTGGAGAAAGTTTGCTTTGTCATTTGCTTTGCTTGCTCTGATTCTGTAGTGCACAGCTGGTGTTTTCTCAAGTTGTCGTGGCTCTGGATATCTAGTGCCTCTCGTTTCTTTTATGGAACACAGATTTGAGCAGAAATTCATATGAGATTTGGAAAAAGATTTAATTTCAGACTTTTCAGTCTGATTTGGATGCCATATGATCAGTTCCCCCATCCCACCTCCATTCTGCTTTTCTACTATTAATGGTTTATAATGAGTTCATTGTGTTATAAGAATATTAGAGCAGCCTTCAGAGTCACTTTTTTTTTTTGGTTTTAAGACTTGTTTTAACGTAGCCATAATGCCATTATCCTAACAAAATTATCAAAAATTTCTTAATATCATCTGATAACCAGTTGATTTCTTAGATTGTCTGAAAAATAGCCTTTTATAGTTAGGTTAAAGCAGAATCTCAGTAAGTGTTACATACTGAATTTAGTGTTATATTTCTTACATTGTTTAAGAAGACCCCCATCTTACTTTTTTTTCTTCCAAAGATTTCTTTAAAGAAACCAGGCCATCATCTTGCATAATGTCCCACATTTTAGACTCAGCTGTTTGCTTCCTTGAGGTGTTAACTTATTCCTCTATCCCTTCTATTTCTTAAGGATCCCTTATTCTTTTTTTGAAAGTAGCTGTTTTTCTGCCTATAAAAATAATTTATGATCGCTGAGAGCAGTGGCATGTGCCTATAGTCCCAGCTGCCTGAGAGGCTAAGGTGGAAGGATTGCTTGAGCCAGGAGTTTGACACTGCTCTGGGCAGCATAGTGAGACCTGTGTCCGTATTTTTAAAAACAACAATAATAATTATTTGTGCTTGTGGAAAACTTGGAAATGCTTATACATAAAAATCAAAACAAAACAGGATATTACGCTCTTCTCTGCAGTATATAATTTTAAGTATAAAATATTGGTTTAAAATGCATAATATAAGGACATATCTACCTGATAAGAAAACGAACATTTTCTGTTTTTTTCTTTAGATTTTTATATGATTTTACAATAGAAGCAATACTTTTTTAAAAGAAAAAAGACCAGACACGGTGGTGCATCCCTATGATCCCAGTATTTTGGGAGGATGAAGTTGGAGCATTGCTTGAGCCCAGGGGTTCAAGACCAGCCTGGATAGATAGTGAGACCCTGTTACTACAAACAAATAAAAAGAAATTAGCTGAACATGGTGGTGCACACCTGTAGTCTGAGCTACTTGGGAGCCTGAGGTGGGAGGATCGCTAAGCCTAGAAGGTCAGAGCTACAGTGAGCCATGGTTGTGCCACTATGCTCCAGTGTTGGTGACAGAGTGTTACCCTGTCTCAAGAGAATAAACAAAACAAAACTCCCCAAGCCATAGAAAATTATAAAGAAACAGAAAAGAAATTAATCATATCTAGCTGTGGTTGTGATTTTGTATATTTTATGGAGGACATTTCAAAATATTTGCTTTACTAAAAAAAAAGATTACTTGTTAGCTTTAAGGTACAGAAGAGAAAAGGACAATATTATTGTGGACAATAAAAGAATTTATTATCTTCTATTAAAAACCCCACCTTAGGCCGGGCACGGGGGCTCACGCCTGCAATCGCAGCACTTTAGGAGGCCGAGGCGGGTGGATCACCTGAGGTCAGGTGTTCAAGACCAGCATGGCCAACGTTGTGAAACCCCATCTCTACTAAAAGTACAATTAGCCAGGTGTGGTGGTGCACACCTGTAAATCCAGCTACTTGGGAAGCTAAGGCAGGAAAATTGCTTGAACTCGGGAGGCCGAGGTTGCAGTGAGCGGAGACCGTGCCACTGCTCTCTAGCCTGGGCAACAGAGTGAGACTACATCTCCAAGAAATTGCCCCTTTAAAATACACTACCTAGAAAGTTATGTATCCTAAATTATAATCTAAAATCCCATGACAAAACCTTAGAGAAAAAGTTGAAAAAATAATCTTATTATTGTAGTTCAAGAATTTTTATCCCCAAATAATTTTTTCAGTGATACTGATAACCTTAGGACTGCTAAATTAGGTGTAAAGTGGTTGTCAATGATGGTCATGATCTTGTAAACTAGCTTACTGTTGACATAGTGGACGCCAGGGGGCGCATTTGCATTGCTCGTTTACACTCATGTAAACACAGTAGGAGATGCCTTCACTGTGGGTTGCAGGCCTATCACTCATTGCTCATATACCTAACCACAGGAACGTTCCAGCAGGTTCTTGGGTTTTAGTGTTCATGACATTCCTTTAATTCTTTCACTTGCTTTAAGTACATTTTTGTTCCAGTTTGGGGATTCAGAGTGGATGAGTATTGCAAAAAATGGAGAGAAAACAATCACTAAACTTCCTTTAAGAGCATTTTTATATTTCCTTTGAAACAAACTGTCATTTGTGGCTTGATGGAAACCAATATGAGTATGAGAATCCAACAATGTTTTTTCCTTTGATCAATGGCTATTTGCACAGACTGGTGTATAGATAAGAGGATTCATGTATTAAACAGAACATCAGAATTAAAACCCAAGAAATGAGTTTATGTTATGCTTTTGGTTAATCTCACGAACCTTTCATCTTAGCAGCAGGACTCATTAAAGGAGACGGCTTTTTCTTCAGCCAACGTAGAATTTATTAAGTTCTATTAGCCATTAACGACGTTCATCTGTGTCCTCACCAATCTAGTATTGTGCCTGTTGTTAGAGTTTAGATCTCTTGGGAGAGCTAAGGAGTATGTTCCTCTTTCCTTTTGATGCCTTTATTACACTGGAGAACGTGTGAATACAGGAGTAGAAACATTCTATGGAGTGTCCTAGGGCATACTCCCAAATTTAAGATCAAGATAACACTGAAACTAAATATGTTGTTTTGTTCTAATACATTGAAAGGTGGATATTTTTCTGTGTCTTGCAGTTCAGAATTTAGGCCACCCATATTGGCTTACCTTGGCTCCAATGTATATTTGGTTTATGATTTTCTTCATCCAGCCTCACAAAGAGGAGAGATTTCTTTTCCCTGTGTATCCACTTATATGTCTCTGTGGTGCTGTGGCTCTCTCTGCACTTCAGGTGAGTTTCAGGGACAAGTATATCTGCCTGATTCTTTTTAACTTATTAAATAATTGCTCACAAAACTTAAGTGAAAATTACAGAATACTTCCACCTAACATGTTTTATCCATACCATGAAGCCTGATACAGGTCATATTATTAAAGCTTCTTGTATTGATTACTTAGCTGTTTACCATACTCTTATTTGCTGATTACATGTTTGCATTGTTAATTTGTGTGTTACTTTGCCACTGTTACCAACAGGAATCCAATTGCAGAATTCCATTCTGTGGCAGAGGTAATGGAACGTCTGCTCTTTGAACTGCTAGATCATAACAAAACTTACCCAAGAGTTTGGGATCACATCAGACACTTCACAGACTGGGGCACTCTATGATCCTGGTTGAAAACCTGCCCAGGTCAATTCCTTGGCAGAGCTCATCTTAACTCTTTGAATATCTCTCTACTTATGGCTTCAGTGGCCTCAGAACCCTTTATTGCCCTCTGCTACCATTTGTAGTTGGCAGAAAAAAAAATAATTAGGATGATAGGTTTTTTTCTTAACAGGTTTATTGAGATATAATTCATAAACCATACAGTTTACGTATTTAAAGGGTATGATTCAGTGGTTTTAGTCTATTCACAGATGTGTGCAACTGTCATCACAGTCAATCTTAGATCAAAAACCCTGTATCCTTTAGCTGTTTTTCCCCCGTTTCCTTCCCATATCTCCCCAACCCTAAGTAACCACTAATCTACTTTGTGTTCCTATAGATTTGCCTATTCTGAACATTTCCTATATATGGAAACATATGATATATGGTCTTTTGTGATTGGCTTTTTTCACTTAACATAATGTTTTCAAGGTTCATCAATTTAGGTGATAGTTTTAGAAAATAATTTTAATTATAAAAGTAATTGAACTTTATTGCAGATAATTTAGGAAGTGGTAAAAGAAAAATTAGTCCCACTAACCTAACAGAAACTCCTCCCAGCATTTTTGTATATCGTATACCAAGGTTTATTATAGTTGTGATAATCACTGTTCATGTGACTTTATATCCCTTCTAATTTAATATTATAACGTTCTCTGTGCTTATCATTTTAGTAGCTGTGGAATGTTCTGTGTTGGATATAATATGTAATATTATTATGCAATGTATAATATATTGACTTGATTTTTACATAATATAGCTATTGGATATAATTCATGGTAAAATTTAGGTTGCTAATTTATTCAATATTATAAATACTGCTAGAATAAATAGCTTATATTTGGATTGATTGCTTAAATTTCCAAAAATATGAAAAGGGTTCAAATAGATTGATGCCATTTGTTATATATTGGAAAATTGCTTTCTGAAAGTAGTTTTTGTCTAGAAGGGAAGGAAGGAAGGGAAGAGGTCTGAATAGAAGGTACTGAAAGACAGCAGAATTCATGCATGTGTTTACATTATAATATTCATCTAGTTTGTAAAGTTATTTAGCATATAATTAAGAGCATGTTCCTAGTGTTCTATGAGGGGAATTCTTTTTTCTTATTTGGTCATGAGACCTTTTTTTCATACTAAAAGCTTTGATAAAAACTTCGATAGTAAAGATTAGTACTCATTATATCAAAAACAAATTTGAATACTTTATATATCAAATAAAACTACCAAAAAAAGCATTTCTTAAATATTTTTTAAAAATAACTTACTAGGCCTGTAAATGCTAGCAAAATATTCAAATACGTTTCCTATGAAGCTAGTGATATTTTATTGTTGGCAAGCCCTCTGGCTAGCCAAAACTACAGGTAGTCATAGAGGAGTTGGCTTTTATCTTAGAGTTTGGAGTAGGGATGTCACTGTTTGCAAATGCTCAGATCCTTAATAGAACTTCTTTTTTGGCTTCGATCTTGATGTTACTGGGATGTCTTGTAATTATGTATATTCTACAAGTTATATTTTCTTTTACCAGCACAGTTTTCTGTACTTCCAGAAATGTTACCACTTTGTGTTTCAACGATATCGCCTGGAGCACTATACTGTGACGTCGAATTGGCTGGCATTAGGGACTGTCTTCCTGTTTGGGCTCTTGTCATTTTCTCGCTCTGTGGCACTGTTCAGAGGTAGATCTTCTAAGAATATCTTAACCTACACTGACGAGCCACTTTCCCTTAGGTTTTACTTGATTCCTGGTTATATAATACAAATTTGGCTTATGCTAAGAGGCCATTTCTAAAGAGAAAAACTGTAGGCTTAATATTAATGAGTGGAATATGACTTCTGTATCTTAGGATTAAAGAGAAGATTGAGGATTCCTTTTGTGATTAACTGTACATTTTTTGTCTATTTTTGTTGTTTTTTTCTTTTAATGGACACCAATAAATTAAGGAAGTCTGAAACTTAAAATGCAAATTTAGGCTAACTTCTCATGATTATATTCTTTCTTATAATCAGTATTTGGATCCATAATATTACAATATGCTCAAGGAAAATGAAGTTAAAAAGGTGAAAGGGCATAGAGAGGGGCAAGAAAGCCAATTATTTTTGGCAGAATAGAGCCACTGCTGTAACCATGTTCTCAGCTAGAGAGACATTTTCCACCTGTAGAGCAGGCTTCCTGCTGGAATTGCTATGGTCCTTCCTGCCTTTTAAATTTCATGTGGCTTATGGTGCAACATTAATATGCATGATAATTTAAGTCAGAATCTCATCTTACTCATCTCTGGCTCTCACTGCCTATTCTCCCTTCCAGGATATCATGGGCCCCTTGATTTGTATCCAGAATTTTACCGAATTGCTACAGACCCAACCATCCACACTGTCCCAGAAGGCAGACCTGTGAATGTCTGTGTAGGAAAAGAGTGGTATCGATTTCCCAGCAGCTTCCTTCTGCCTGATAAGTAAGTTGTCCTTTCATTGCCAGGGTTTTAAATCAAGAAGTAACTAGAGCAGTTCTGTGGCAGTATTTTCTAATTTTTGTTTTCTTTTGGAGTTTTCACAGAGAGTTATTGAATCATTTACCACCTCAAAGAGCTGTGGGGCCTCTGTATTGTGTACCTGCCTTCCGTGTTCATTAGGCTCATTAGACTGAGGGCTGGGTCTGGGTATATATTCTGCACTGTCCATAACTGCAGGTGTCCAGGGCCTTCTGAAAATGCCCTGTGTCCTAGGCTTTTGGATCCTTCCTGAGGATTCATATTTACATTTTTATAATTACCTGATATTAATCCACTTCTAAAAGTGGTCTATAAACTCCAGCTAGAAGACAGGGAAAGAGATCCAAGATGGCTGATTACTAGCAGGTCAGGATGTCAGGATTGTAGCTCTCAGTGAAAGCGCAGAGAATGAGAGGACGCCACACTTCCAGACGAATTTTTGTTGCTCACAGAGCAGGAGATTCCCAGCGGAGGAGCCCCACAGGTCGCCAGCGTGACTCTTGTGGCTGGTGCAGCAGTGTTACCGGTGCCCTGGGGCGGTGGTTCTTGGTGCAGAGTAAACGGGGCTGGGTCCCCTTTTGGTCGACGTTTGGAGCTCTGGGAAGGCAGAGTCGCCTATTTAGCTGATTGAAGGACAGGCTCAAGAGGGAAGCCAGACTGGAGATTCCCGGTCAGAAAAGCACCATGAATCTTAATGCCGCTGTTTTAGCCAGCGCAGTGGGTTGCTCGGTTTCTGGTGCTGGGAATCAACAAATTGGACATCTACTCAGAGGCCTAATTTGAAAGTCAGTAATTACAAAGACGACAGGTGGCTGGGCACAGTGGCTCATGCCTATAATCCCAGCACTTTGGGAGGCCGAGGTGGGTGGATCACGAGGTCAAGAGATCGAGACCATCCTGGTCAACATGGTGAAACCCCGTCTCTACTAAAAATACAAAAATTAGCTGGGCATGGTGGTGCGCGCCTGTAATCCCAGCTACTAGGGAGGCTGAGGCAGGAGAATTGCTTGAACCCAGGAGGCAGAGGTTGCGGTGAGCCAAGATCGTACCATTGCACTCCAGTCTGGGTAACAACAGCGAAACTCCATCTCAAAAAAAAAAAAAAAAGACAACAGGTGGATAAATTGATGATGGGAAGAAACCAGCATAAAAAGGATGAGAATACCCAAAATCAGAATGCCTCTTCCTTACAGGGGATCACAATTCCTCATCAACAAGGGAACAAGGCCTAATGGAAAACAAGTGTGTTCCATTAACAGAATTAGACTTCAGAAGGTGGATAATAAGAAACTTCTGTGAGTTAAAAGAACATGTTCTAGCCCAATGTAAAGAAACTAAGAACTTTGAAAAAAGGTTTGACGAAATCCTAACAACAATAGACAATCTAGGCCAGGTGCGGTGGCTCACGCATATAATCCCAGCACTTTGGGAAGCCGAGGTGGGTAGATCACAAGGTCAAGCGATGAGACCATCCTGGTCAACAAGGTGAAACCCCGTCTCTACTAAAAATACAAAAATTAGCTGGGCATGGTGGTGCACACCTGTAGTCCCAGCTACTTGGGAGGCTGAGGCAGGAGAATTGCTTGAACCCAGAAGGCGGATGTTGCGGTGAGCCGAGATCATGCCATTGCACTCCAGCCTGGGTAACAACAGCAAAACTCTGTCTCAAAAAAAAAAAAAAGGAATAGACAATCTAGAGAGGAATATAAGTGAATTAATGGAATTGAAGAATACAATATGAGAACTCCACGAAGTATGCATAGGTTTTAACAGTTGAATTGATCAAGCAGAAGAAAGGATATCAGAGGTGGAAGACCAACTTAATGAAATGAAACGAGAAGACAAGATTAGAGAAGAAAGAGTTAAAAGGAATGAGCAAAGTCTTCAAGAAATATGGGACTATATGAAAAGGCCTAATTTACATTTGATAGGTGTACCTGACTGTCATGAAGAGAATGAATCGAAGCTGGAAAACATTCTTCAGGATATTATTCAGGAAAACATTCTTAACCTAGTAAGGCGGGACAATACTCAACTTCAGGTAATACAGAGAACACCATAAAGATATTCCTCAAGTAGAGCAACCCCAAGACACATAATTGTTAGATTCACCAGGGTTGAAATAAAGGAGAAAATACTAAGGCCATCTAGAGAGAAAGGTCAGGTTACCCATAAAGGGAAGCCTATCAGACTCACAGCAGATCTCTCAGCAGAAACCCTACAAACTAGAAGAGAGTGGGGGGTCCATATTCAAATCCTCAAAGAAAAGAATTTTCAACCCAGAAACTCATATCCAGCCAAATTAAGCTTCATAAATGAAGGAAAAATAAAATTTTTCACAAACAAGCAAACACTCAGAGATTTCATCACCAGCAGGCCTGCTTTATAAGAGCTTCTGAAAGAAGCACTATACATAGAAAAGAACAACCAGTATCAGTCATCCCAAAAACTTAGCAAAAGGTAAAGAGTATCTCCATAATGAACAATCTATATCAACTAATGGGCAAAATAGCCAGCTAGCATTAAACAACAATATTAAACTCACAAATATCAATATTAATCCTAAATGTAAATGGATTAAATGCCTCAATCAAAGACACAGACAGGCAAATTAACCCATTGGTTCACTGTATCCAGATCCATCTCATAAGCAAGGACACAAAAAGACTCAAAGGGTTGGTGGAAGACTTACCAATCAAATGGAGAGAAAAAAAAAAAAACAGGAGTTGTAACTTTCATCTGTGACAAAATAGACTTTAATAGTAGTAACAAAGACTAAAAGCAACAAAGAAGGACATTACGTAATGATGAAAGGATCAATGCAACAACAGGAGTCAATGATCATAAATATATATGCACCCAGTATAGGAACACCCAGATACATAGGACAAATTCTTAATGACTTATAAAGAGACTTGGACTCCCGCACAATAATAGCGGGAGACTTTGACACCACATTGTTAATATTTGATGGATCAACAGGATAGAAAATTAACAGGGACATTTATGATTAGAACTCAGACCTAGAACAAGTAAACTCAGTGAATATAGAATTCTTTATCCCAGGTCCACAGAACATACATTTTTCTCAGTATCACATTGCACCTGTTTTGAAAGTGACCACATAATTGGAAGTAAATCACTCTTCAGCATTTGCATGGCATTTCACAGACTTAAGTGAAATACTGGTTAGCTGTTTGTTCTTTTCGTCCCTTATTCCTTCCTGTCTCCACCGTTAAGCACAATTATCGGCATAAAAGAAGTTTTAATACCTATTTTTAGATTGCATTCCAGCCTGGGCAATAGAGCAAGACTCCTGTTCTCTCTCCCCCATCTCATTCTCTTTCTTTCTTTAAAAAAAAGAAAAGAAAAGAAAGAAACCCCAATAAGCTAGCATTGACAAAGGGTCACTTGATTCTGAGTATATTGGGATGTCTCAGGAATTCCAAAGGGAGGACTTCAACCTGTCCTGAAAGGACCTAGAAAAGGAAAGCTGTCAGCCAATGAGGCCACTCCTCTCCTAGGCTGCCTCTGTCTTAAAAAAAAAAAAAGGGGGAGGCCGAGGCGGGTGGATCACAAGGTTAAGAGATTGAGGCCATCCTGGTCAACATGGTGAAACCCCGTCTCTACTAAAAATACAAAAAAAATTAGCAGGGCGTGGTGGCACATGCCTGTAATCCTAGCCACTCAGGAGGCTGAGGCAGGAGAATTGCCTGAACCCAGGAGGCGGAGGTTGCCGTGAGCCGAGATCGCGCCATTGCACTCCAGCCTGGGTAACAAAAGCGAAACTCCGTCTCAAAAAATAAAAAATAAAAAGAAGAGAGAAGAAATTTTTTTGATCCAACAGTAGTGAGATTTCTTTGCCATTATGTGGACACTGGGGAAAGCTGTGATTAAAACATCCGTAACAGTTTCTTTTATGCTGTCTGTGGTTATGAGAGCATAGGCCCTCAAGTTCCTTGTAGTTTGCTTAATTTGGCCAGAGAAGAGTCCTATGTAGGTAAAAGGGAAATCTGGTTAAGATGAGTCATGTTGCTCCATTTGAGAGCTGGCTTCAGTAGCTTAGCTTTATTAGGTAGTACTATCTTATGCTTCATAAAGACCCTGTGTCAGTCATTAATGATTAAATTAAAACTTGTTTTTTAAGTGTTGACTTTGGCCTTTGTTACATGTGAAATAGTTTTATAGATAAGGATATGTTTGAGGGTTACTCAGGAACAAAGTATTTCTTCCATAGTATGTTTTCAGTGCCATATATTACATTTCATTCTTTTTCTTTTCTTTTTTGAGACAGAGTCTTGCTCTGTCTCCAGGCTGAAGTGCAGTGGCACGATCTTGACTTACTGCAACCTCTGCCTCCTGGGTTCAAGCGATTCTCTTGCCTCAGCTTCCCGAGTAGCTGGGACTACAGGCATGCACCACCATGCCCCAGCTAATTTTTGTATTTTTAGTAGAGATGGGTTTTCACCATGTTGGCTGGGGTGGTCTCCATCTCTTGACTTCATGATCCGCCTGCCTCAGCCTCCCAAAGTGCTGGGATTATAGGTGTGAGCCACTGCGCTTGGCCTATTTCATTCTTTGTGTTTTTATAAACCTGATAATTTGCTTCATTTGGTAAGTTTCTCTGCCCAAATGGTAATTGACAATAATCATTGGCACTTCTCTGGTTGTTTGATGGTATGACTGTTTGGTTATGAATTTCACTGCTAAGACTTGGTGAAATGGGTCAAGAGACATCTAATTATAAATTTCTCAATGATTTTGGACTTATTTGCGACCTTTGCCTCTATGCTCCCTGATTAAGGTTTTAGCAGAAATATTTTTTCTTCAAGTGAAACGTTTTTCACATGATTTTTTGGCTTGTTTGTATCAAATACGTTTAGCAATATTATCCCCCTGTGTTTTTCTTACTCTCCTTATTTGTGTTTCTGACAGTTGGCAGCTTCAGTTCATTCCATCAGAGTTCAGAGGTCAGTTACCAAAACCTTTTGCAGAAGGACCACTGGCTACCCGGATTGTTCCTACCAACATGAATGACCAGAATCTAGAAGAGCCATCCAGATATGTAAGGGCTACATTCTCTTCTTGTGTCTCTGAAAAGAATTCTATACCTAAAATCTATTGACATGTATATTAGAGTATTGATAAAATGAGAATTTCTTAGAAAGTGATTTTTTTATTTGAGTTTTGCTTTTGTTGCCCAGTCTGGAGTGCAATGGTGTGATCTCGGCTCACCGCAACCTCCACCTCCTGGGTTCTAGTGATTCTCCCCAGCATTCTGAGTAGCTGGGATTACAGGCATGTGACAACATGCTTGGCTATTTTTTTGTGTTTTTAGTAGAGAGGGGGTTTCTCTATGTTGGTCAGGCTGGTCTTGAACTCCCAACCTCAGGTAATCTGCCCACCGCGGCCTCCCAAAGTGCTGGGATTACAGGTGTGACCAATCACACCCGTCCAGAAAGTGATTTTTTAAGGCCGGGTACTGTGGCTCACACCTGTAATTCCAGCATTTTGGGAGACAGAGGTGGGATAATTGCTTGAGTTCAGAAGTTTGAGACCAGCCTGGGCAACATAGCAAGAGTGTGTCTCTACAAAAAAAATTTAAAAATAAGCCAGATGTGGTGGCTTACACCTATAATCCCAGCCATTCAGAAGGCTGAGGCAGGAGGATCACTTGAACCCAGGAGTTCAGGGTTGTAGAGGGCCATAATTGTGCCACTGCACTCCAGCCTGGGCAACAGAGCAAGACCCTGTCTCAGAAAAAAAGAGATTTTTTTTTTAGGGTGAGGGGTGTAACAGCTTTTGTTGAAAAAGAGTAAATAATATCACTTTTTTTTTCAAATTAACCTCTTTATTTTCTATGTAAAGTGTATAATTTAATATAATTTTGAAGCTTTTGGATGGGCTGATAGAAATTTGAACCATTATTCTGAAACTCATATCGTTCCTTGGCCTATTAAAATCTTTGATGGGGAACTTTTAAGTTATCAGGTGGACCTTTGACCTAGCTATTAGTATATTTCAGTTTTAGCAAATGAACAGTCAGTGAAGACTGTTTCCATAGTGAATGCCAGGAAGCAACCTCTGTCAGGACCATGATCTTCTCCCTACTTGTCTTTATGCATTCTGAGATCCCATGCTAATTTTATTTCAGTTCCTTTGAAAGATGACACTTGGGTGACATTTGATACCTGTGAAATCTTTTATAATAAAAAGGTAAGAAGTAATAAAGATATGCTCCTCTTGGGTCCCAAAGACAGTGTAAGATCATTTTCTAGAATTATTAGAAAGCACATTTTTTGGCAACCTGTCCCTTAAAGAAATATGTAACAGTTTAAATGTCAGCTATATTTAATTTACATTTTCTTATATTATATGCTTAAAATGTAAAATAGTGAGACTTCCAGTTCTCTTCTGAAGCAAACCTGCAGCCACATCTGGTCTTTTGTCTCCCAGATTGGGGCTGGTTAGAGTTCCATGGAGACCCTCTGGGTTTATGAGTAAGATTCTTACTGTATAAGCTTTAACATAAGCTATGAAAATGGACATCTTAATGACAGCCTTGAGCTGTTCCCTTATAAAAGTAAGATATGCATTTCTACCACATGGCTTGTATTAGAGCTTTATTCTTTTAATTTAAGGCTCTGATTCCTGTTACAATGGAAATACCTTTGGGCAGGGTAGACTGTTATAGGTCATTTTAATTTTATCTGTAGATACAAGTCTCCTGAGCACAGGGCATCACTCTGGGGACACTGGACACTCAAAGGGTAGGAGAATACACTGTCATAGGGGGACAATATAAATTCAGAGTGATGTTATCGGAGCCTTGCTTTAGGAAGAGGTAGTAAAAGTGGAGTAGTGAAAAAAAGAGCATGGACTTTGGAGTTAAGTAGATCTGCCTACATTTAATCTCAGCTCTGTTGCTAAACTCGATAACCTTGGGCAAATTAGTTAACTTCTCTGTTTAACTAATTTAGTTTCTATCTGTAAAATAGCACCTACTTTGGAATTATGATATTTGATATTCTGTCTCTCTGTAGCTTAAATGCAGTGTTCTTACGCTTGCACGAGTGTTCTTAATCAGATAATGGTATACTAGATGTATTCAAGGTAAAGAAACCCTTCAGGAGACGTATAATCTGCCCAGATCTCTCCCCTTCCTTCTTTTTATTGTTCCCCGTCCTGGTAATTTTATTCCAGTGTGTCCAGACTCATCGGTGTCTTTTCCACTCCAGTGACTTCACTCATATTGGTGACTGCCCGAACTACCCTTGTGTCTCTTCTCGCACTATCAAAATTACCTTCTTCTTTGAAGTGAAATATTCACGTCCATATTGAGCAGACCGTCCTTTAAGTATCTTAAGTATTTATCTGTGCAGCTCATTTAGCCATTTAATTTTGTTGGTCTTATGATATTTACATATTTCTGATATCTATATCATATCTTTCGTCATCAAATGTGTGAATGCTGTGAAGAGAATGACTGCACGTTGTTTCTTTTGTGTTCACCATAGCATCTAGGGTAGTGTTCCTAGTAGTTCACTTTTACTTGCTTTCTCAGTGGATAATGAATATTCATCGTCATTGTGGCAGTGATGTGGAGAGAAAGCTGGCTAGAAAATCTGCAGTGGTCTTTTGCACATTTCTTAGGCTTTTGTTACTGGTTGTCTTAGTTAGATCATATGTTCATATTCTCTACTATCAGTTGGTGTTAAATTTCATTAAATGACTCTATATGTGCTTTACCCAAAAGGTGATGATTTTTCAGAATGCCAGTAGTCACCAAAATGCTGACTGATAAAAACAGGGACAAATGATTTATGTCTGCTGGGTAGCAGCCATGTCCAACCCTTTAAATGCAAGGATTTTTTTGCTTATCTGTGGTGGCAGAATCACAAAAATTAGGCATGGACCTTTTTGATTAGTTCATCAGCTTTCATTAGTGATAGTGTATTTTATGTGTGGTTCAAGACAATTATTCTTCCAGTGTGGTCTAGGGAAGCCAAAAGGTTGGACCTCCATGGATAGAGTGTCTGTCATTGTACCCATCCACATTCCTGAAGATGAGTTTTACTGCAGAGTTGCCTTCATGCTCTAGTTTCAGTGGATTTTCCTGCATGGGGGTCGGCAGCGGAGTGCTCTCCAAATCCAGTTTACTCACCTTTGACCCTTTGGAAGTAGCAGGGATGTTTGCTGGCTTAATTTTTTTTTTTTTCCATCATCTACTTGACTCTCATGCTGACTTACTATTAATTCTACATGAACTATGATAATGGATTTATCTCTTTCAATTAACTGTTTAAAAAGATATTTGTTTTCCTGTGATGGTGGAAGTAATATGTATTCATTGTAAAATAATGAAAGTTATAGACAACAAAAAAATTGATCTGTTATCTCATTACCCAAGTATTACTAATGTTGCCATTTTGGTGTTTCTTTCCTTTCACTTTTTCCCCCTTGTATATATATGCACATTTGTAAGTAAACAGAAATCTCAATTATTTATTTAAAAAGTGTTATGTTTAATTCTTTAAGAAATAGTGCCAGGGTCATGACTATAATACCCAAATAACTTCGTCCCATGTGTAGGAACGCATGTTGTATAATGCTTATGTTTGTCACTTTTGGGGTAAGTCCTGGTTTTTAGTCCAGGTTTATTCAAGAAGACAAAACAATGACATTATCTTTCTTGAGCATGCTAAATAGCAGCACTATTTTTACCCGCCCGTTGGCTTCAGTGCTAAGTGCTTCAGTCTGTCCCTTTTCTATTCTGCATGGAAATGAGGAAGGATGTATCACTTTTTGAATCTCACTGTTTTCTTTACCTCTGGGCTACTCAAGAATTAGGAGTGAATACGTGTACAGGTTCTGTAGTTTGTAGTGTACCGTTCTAACTGTATTGCAGAAATCATTTTTTTGCTGCATGTATTTTCCTGTTAGGTATTGAGTAGCTATTGAATAGCTCATTATTGAACATTAAGCATTTATAGGGGTGCATGCCAAGATTTTCTGTCAGAATCAAGATTGAATTTGGAAGATGCATTCAGTGTCACCTCTTTAGTTCTTGAAAAATTCAAAGTTTTGTTCACTATTTCAAGGTGAATGATACTCTTCCAGCTCCAAATCTGATACATGATTTGGAAGGTGCCTAGTCAATGGATGAAAACTTGGAGGAAGAAACAGTTCTTCAGGAGGGAGCTTACAGAAAAAGGCATTTTTCTGACTTTAATGCTTAATCAGTCTTGCTGGAAGCTTTTCTGTTTTCTTTCTTTTTTAAGAGACTGGATCTTCCAGTGGTGCCATCATAGTTCATTGTAACTTCAAATTCATGGGTTCAAATGATCCTCCCTCTTCAGCCTCCTGAGTAGCGAGGACTACAGCTGTGCATCACGATGCACAATTAATAGTTTTTTTTTTCTAGAAACAAAGTCTTGCTCTGTTGCCCAGGCTGACAATCATGTCTTGTCCTCTCAAAGTGCTGGGATTATAGGCCTGAGCCTCCATGCCTGTCTTCCATCTGTTATCTCTGAAAACATAGATTGGTCATTGATTTTTTTCCCAAGCAGTAATATAGTCAGTTCTGCTACAATAGGATATAAAATTATGAAAAATTATTATGCAGTAAAAACCACAAAGCTTACTGGGAAAACGGAGTTAGGGACACAATGCTTAAAAACCGTCACTTAAAAAAGAGATTAAAATTAGCCATGCATGATGGCTCATGCTGCTAATTCTAGCATTTTGGGAAGCTGAGGCAGAAGGATAGCTTGAGGCCAGGAGTTTGAGACCAGTCTGGGCAACATAGTGAGAAACCACCTCTACAAAAAAAGAATAATAAATTAGCTAGATGTGGTGGCTCATGCCTGTAGTCCTAGCTATTCAGAAGGCTGAGGTGGGAGGATTGTTTGAGCCCAGGAATTTGAGGCTACAGTGAGCTACAATCATGCCACTGTACTCCAGCCTGGACAACATAGCAAGACCCTATCTCTAAAAAAAAAAAAAAAAATTGAAAAAAGATTTAAAATGCTAGTATGATTTTACATATGTTACATGGTTAAAAGT